GGCAGAGAGACGGGAAATACAAGAAAGAGATAAGAAAATTAGAGGACAAATCCAAAGGATTTAATATCTAGTAATACAAGCTCTAGAAAGAGAGAAGGACAAAATATAGAGAGTAGGAATCATCAGCGAAATAATTCAGGAAGATGTCCCAGGACTGAAGGACATTAATTTCCAACTTAGGAGAGGCCGCACAAGTCCCAGCAAAATAAATCAAAATAAAATAAACCAATTAAGGCATATGACTATGAAATTTTACAGCACTAGATGTATTTGGATAGTCTACAAACCAGAGAGAATGGGGGAAAAGTCACATATAAGGAGACAGGAATCATAATGCCTTAGGGTTTCTCAGCAGCAACAGTGGAAGCTAGACCAGTTGAGAGTTGCCTTCAAAATTCTAAAGGAAGGTTTTTTCAACCTACATTTCTATACCCAAACTATCATTAAAATGGGTTGGTTTAGTAGATGTTTTCAGACATAAATCAGATTCTCAAGAAATTTACTGTGCTAAATTGAATTTCCTCTTCCTCTTTTTCCCCTTCAGCCTCACAGAGGTGAAAATAAGAAATGAAGACATCCCAGAAAACAAAAGGAGAAATAAATATTGAAGAAAATGGATAATCCATAAGTCAAAATATTATTTCTGAGTTAATCAAGAGATTCCTTAGTGTCTCAGGTTATATATTGTCTTAGGATAAAGACTTGGAAAGTAATACTTCATCTTGTACTACCCAGAATTCTCTTTCAGAACATAGTGGACCATTTGTTCACAATGTATAAATAGTTAAAATATTTCCGTTGTTTCGTAGGGGAGTCAGAAAAATTAACCCACTTCCCAGTTATAAGAATTTTAAAAGTTTGAGTTCATCAAAACATTTTTAGTCTTCATTTCTAGAATGAGGTTTTGAGACAAAAATCCATTTGCTCTTCAGTGTACAAGGCCCTGAGCCCTCTGCAGTGGTGACAGGGAAGCCGAGTTGTTTAAAGTGTGGATGTGCAGCTTCAGTCCACGGCTGCATCGAGCAGTGCTGCTGCCCGTCCGCGCTCTACTCTCTCAGGGCACAGTCTCCAGCCTCCTCCGTTTCATCCCCTGCCCAGTAAGTAAATTAGGTCGGAAAATGGCCACAGAAGGGAACAACAGAACCTGGGGAGGTTTTTTACACAGTGAATAAAGTTGCTCAGCAGCTTACAATAGAAAATAAAGCAAGCCAGTGCTATACTGACCGAGGTTTTTCTCAGAACAGTTTAACTGTCCACCTTTCACAAAGATGTAGCCTAAAAACTTTTATTTACTTTTCTCTCTGATTTGTCTGTTTCAACAATGAGCAGTCTGTATTGAGGTAAACTTAAAACTGCGACTGTCAAATGGGAAATGGGATCTCATTTAACTGCATCCCACATGGGTTTCCCAGTTCCTGTGTGCACTACGTACAGAGATCCGCTCTCCAGCCCCTTGCAGTGCCAGCTTAGCGGTTCTCTGGCTTTTTGCCTTCGCAGATGTCAATGTGCTTTTGCTGATTTTCTTTCCTCTCCTTTTTCTCCCTTTGTGACCTGACCTGCCCCTCTTCCCTCAGGCTGTAGAATGCATGTCACCTCCTGTAGAACTGTCCCCGGCCTTGTCCCTTACCCCCATGCCTCCCTCCATTGCAGGAGAGTCTTGCTCCTTCAGGTGAGGGTCCTGAAAAAGTGAGAGACCGGGATCGATGCGTGTTCTCACTCCTGTTGAGAAGCAGAGAGGAGAGCGTGGGCTCGCTGCTGGAAAGGAGGCAGTTTAGCACATGTCATTGGGCTGCCTGGTTTTGAATTCCCACCCTGCCACTTACTATGTGACCTTGGGCAACTAACTTGACCTCTCTATGCCTTAGTTTCTGCCTCTGTCAATTGGGGATAATAGTAATACCAGCCTCAAGATTATTATGAGGATTAAAGAAAATAATCCATGTAAAGTACAATACAATATGGTGGTTAAGGACATTTACCCTGCAGCCAGACTGCCTGTGTTTGAATCCCCGTTCCATGGCTTAGGCAATCTTTCTATTCCTCAGACTCCTCATCTGAAAAGTGGGGTAAAAAGTAGTGCCTACTATGTTCTCAGTTTAAAAATAAATTGTACCTACTGTTAGCATTGTTGAAAGAATTACATTAATTAAAATATATAAAATACTTAGGCCGCTGTCTGGCAAATACAAAACACTGTTTAAATACTAAAGATTATTAAAAGGCTCAAATAGAGGTCTGTCATATAGTATGCAGTCAAGAAATAGTTGCTATTTTACAGAGAATTCCCATTTTTCAATAAAATTGTGTAAGTGGGAAGAAGAAAGGATCTTAGTCTTGAAGAGAGGACAGCCAATTAAAGCCACAATATGATGCCACTACCTCTAGTTAAAATGAAAAGGACAATATTAAGGCCTCTCATACGCAGTCGGTGGCAGTAGAAGTTAGTGCAGCCACTTTGGAAAACGTACGTTATCGGTAAGGCTGAACTTACACACAGCCCTAACCCAGCAGATCCACTCCTAGATGTATGTACACCCAAAAGAAATGCCTGCTTGTGTGCACTAGAAGACACATAACAAGAATATTCATAGGAACGTTATTCTTAATAGCCAAAACCTGGAAGCGGCTCAAGTAAATTCTGTATGTTTATAAAATGGAAGAATGATGAGTTAGAACACAGTGTGTGTGTTACACAAACACAATGTGTAAAAGAAGCTAGACACAGAAGAATACATCTGTATGATTCCTTTTTTTTTTTTTTTTTTAAGTTCAAAAATGACAAAATCTATGGCGTTAGGAGTCAGGGTGGCGACAGGTGACTGGAGTGGGCCTGAAGCTGCACCTGAAGTTCTGCTGCTTGATCTGATCTGATTACATGGATGTAATGGTTACATGGATGTATTTTCTTCGTGGAAATTCATTCAAACTGTATGCATATGATTAGTACATTTGTATGTTAAACTTCAATTGTAAAATTTACGTTAAATCAGAAGGCTTGAGAATTTTAGAAATGATAGTTCACTTTTTCCACTTGCCAAGTCTCCCTAGAATTAAAGATTTCATGCTTTTAAAAAATGTAGGTGTTCACTCCAAGGCTGGAAAATTAACCAATCTGGCTTCCAAACTTCTTCTTAACCTGTGTCTTCAGGGCTGTAAAAAACTCTCAAGAGCAACAAATGAGCACCTCAGGCAACATACTTTGAAGTAGTCATTAGTTTTCGTTTATCCTGCCACCTCACGTACGGTGTTACAGATTGCCTGGACTACATACGTAAGTTAAATATAAAACAGTGGTTTGGAGCTAGAATCAGTGTTTTTAACTTTCTTCAGAGTGACATACTATCACCCTGCAGCTCAGATCTAGTGGTTTGAAAGTTTGCTGGAAGAAGGAGTTTTGTGCGATCCAGCTGTGAGATGTGAGGGGCAAGTTTGAAGGTGCCTGAATGAGCATTAGCTGTAATTGATGCTCATGCGTATTGCTTTTTGCTTTGGTGTCCGTGATACTGTTTTAGTAACTTAGTGAGTTTCATCTTTGAGTGGAATTTGTTTTGTTTAGTCTGCATTGTGCCCAGATTGATGATTGAAAACCTGACACTTTCGCAGGACACTGCTTCATGGCTCTTCCTTTTTCTGCTATTTTTACATCATATGAATCATTGCGCGTTTAAGCCATCTGCAAGGCCTGAATGGAATGAGATAAAAGCTGCCATCATTTACATTGACACTTGGAAAGCTGGTATTCATGCGGAGTTTATTCCTGATTATCCTTTATATTTTAACATCTCAAACTTCATTTCAAGACAGTTGCTAACATCGCTGAGCCAGAAGTATCTGTGATTAGGTTTCTTTTAGCTGAACATTGGGTCAAAGGGAAGGATCCATTCTGTGTGACCCAGAAGAATCTGTTAGGGACCCGGTTCTAACTCAGTTGAGATAATAGGAACAGCAAGTTCCACTCCTGTTTGAAGAGTATCTTGGTTTAATCAGCTCGGCGAGCCATCTGGTTTGGCGCACACTTCACAGGGGACACTACAACATAAGATTCTTAAATTGCCACGTGAATACTTCAAAATAAATGGTTTTGAATGCCTAGAATGTATCACACCCGTTAGATGTTTATCGAAAGTATTTCTCAACACAGCAACTTTTTTGAGGATTTATTGAAAAAAAAATGAGGCGAACGCGTGCCTAGGATGTTGCAAAAGAGATTCATGATTAAAAATGCACACCCACCCTCACGTTTCCTCCTGAGCTATGGATGTATACAAATCTAGCATTTATGTGCATGTAGTGGATTAGTCAGGGGCCTGTCAAGCCTTTGCCCACGGGTTTTCTACATGCAGCATTGCTCTTGGCTACGCAGGTTCATTGCCCTGTGCTGAAGTTAGCAGGGGGGTCTAATCAGGGAGGAGAGTGCAGGTGGGTTTCAGAGAGAGGCGCTGCATCAGTTTTTAAGCCAAGTGCCCGTTGTCACTAGGTGTCTCCTCTTCATAAATAATAAGGTAATGCTTTGGTAACCCAGTAGTCATCAACTCTACAACTATTAGAATGAAATATGAAAATATTCCCTTATTTCCTGAAATAATAGACAAAAAATGCATTGACCTCCACAACTAAGTACAACAGACTCTTCATTTTCGAAATGGAAAGATCCCCAAAACAGAAAGCTCCGTAAGACTTAATAATGGTCCTGTTTTTAAATCTTCAGTTATCCTAATGCATCACTGTGTGACCGTGGGCAGGTCACTTAGTGTTTCTCCTAATCTTTATCTCCTAATTTGCTGATGTGCTGTTAATGTTCAAAAGACCTAAATTTTGTTTGTAAACTACAGCATTTTGTACATAGATAAATAACATCTTTGGGTTTTTTTCTCTTTGAAAGGACAACTGTAATGTTTGCTTGAAGACACTGAGAACAGTTGGCATGGGAGGACTATTTTACATAACTCTTGTGAAGTAATTGTATTTACTTTTCATTCAATGTTTATTTCTTTACTTAGCAGACAGAAGGGGGAGCACAGACAGACGGCCAGCAATCACAGACACAAAGTAGTGAAAATTCAGAGAGTAAATCTACACCCAAACGACTCCATGTCTCTAATATTCCTTTCCGCTTCCGGGACCCGGACCTCCGGCAGATGTTTGGGGTAAGTCTCTGAAGTCCTTTTGTGGGTTTTATAATTAAAATATAATTTAATCCACCGATGTATTAGTCATTAGTATTTTAGGATAGAACGGCCAATACACTAGGAAAGGTCCTGAGGTAAAGCACTGTTTTCCGCAGTCTTTAGGAACTTTTCCTACCGCCTGGTCTGTTTTAGACCTTAGCCTTGAAGTCCTCACATACAGAAGGTCACTGTGCAGCTGGGTTTGCCTGGGACTCGCGGTTTCTTGGGACGTGAGACTTCCAGAGCTAAAATCAGGATAACATAGCAGTCCCTGCCTTTCTGAGTGTTATGAATTAAAGGAAATAATACCTGTGAGAGCAGATAGGACCTGGATTTTGTCTTTACTTCTTTGCTTATAACTCAGCAGTGTCAAGAGTAATATCTGAAATCAGGCTAGGAGGTTAGTTTGCTCTCTCTGTTGTGTTCTTCCAGCTGTTTACTTCCTCCTGAAATCTCTATCATGAAAGCAACATGTAATAGCAAAGATTTAGGTTACTGGGAAGTGAATGACTACTGAGAATCTTAATTTTTTTTCTGGGCTTATGTGTTGTTGCCGGTTTTAATTTGGCCAAACTCTTAACTTGAACTAGGATTAAGAGATGATTAGTTTTTTAAAAATTTTATTAGTACAGCTGCCTAGTACTTTGTCAGGAGAGCAGATGCACTTCCTTAAGTCTTGGTTATGGCCACTTCATGGCGATAAGACCCTGGAGCTTAGGGCTGACTACCTGGATGTGTCTTTTACACTGAAGGCAAGGCCAGGGTTGAGATTTAATGATGTTTTTGAAGTACTTGAAGAGTTTTTACACAGAAAATGGTAGCCAACTGTTCTTCATCTCTACAGAAAAGAGAGCCATGGAAAATATAAAGGGCAGCATAAAGAATTTAGGTTACGTTTAAGCAGACCCCTCCCGGCACTGTGAGCTATTAGGTTCCCTCCTGAATTACCAGAGGGAACATGGAATCTTAATCACTAGATATCTGTGAAAATGGAGTCCATTCTCATCTGTCAGAAGTGCATTTTCTCTTGAGTCAGAAAAATAGTGTCTATGGAAGACCTGCCTCGGCCAGTTGTCAGTGATTTCTTGAAATGTATTATGCCCTTCCCATAAGGCAAAAAGTGCAAAAAAAAAATTTCCTTGCAAGGAATACGTAGTTGCTCTTCTTCGTCGTTAGTGCCTGTTACTCAGAAGGACAATGGTAAAGAATAGGGGATTTCATGCTCCATTTTTTTTATTAGCTCTGTAATCTTGACAGGTAACTTCTTTTTCAGCCTCATTTTCCTTAACCATTAAAGGAAGGCAGTCTTTACTCTAGAAGGATGTTTTAAGGATACATTAGAAAATGTAAAAAAAAAAAAACCCAACAAACTCTAAAATAGACACCATACAAATCTTAGTTTTTTGGATAGGCATAGAAATAAAATTAAATGCCCTCCTACCTAAAATGAGACATTTTCTTTCCTTGATTTTTCTAACTTTCTATTAAATACAAAAGTCTTACTCTAGAAAATGTAGGTTCTTAATACATTTTTTTTATAAAGATAGTAATGATTCAACCCAATGAGAAAGCATGATTTCCCTTTTGCTCTTTTCACTGTTTAGTTTTTTCCATTTCCCAAAGTCTGGTTTGAAATCCAAGTGAAGCAGATAATTGGGTATATCCGTCCAGTACTCAGAGGGAAGTGAGCCAAGGAGTTATCTGGAGGTTTACTGCATGTCCCTGTCAACTCAGTTCATCACCTGTTAAGGAAGACAGGTGGTTTTGTCTCCTTACATATGGCTCTCCTCCACATAGTTACTGCGTTTTATGTTTGCCCCTCCCTAGCCCTCTGTTGAGCTACCTAAGAATAGAGTTATTTAGGCTTTGAGTTTTTAGCTTTGTTTGATTGTCCAAATGTTAAAATATTTAATTACAAAACAAAGTTAGTATTTAAAATATTTTCGATGATGTTCATTGCAGAAATATTAAAATGGCAAATAAATGGAATCATCCATAATGTCTATGAATGTTTAGTATGATGGAAAATAGCACGTAGCCTATAGAAATGATAACACAGATACATGTTTATTGACTTGGAAAGTTGTCTGTAGTATATTAAGTTAAAAAAAACTTTTAAAAAGCAGTGTGTGTAGTGTGTCAGATGTCTCTTGTTAGCGATGTCTGTTAGGAAGAGCCAGGGGGGCTGTGTCCCAAATGTTCCAGACGGTGAGGCTGCAGATGATCTTCGTTTTCTGTTTTCCCTTTTGTTTATCTATGTTTCTAATTTTTAGAGTGAACATGATATACTTGTATAAATAAAAAAAAGAAAGGGAAAGAAAGACAGCCTTCAATAGTATATCTTTCTACTTAGGATTTACTTATTAAAACTAAGACATTTTAACAATCAGAGATGTAGTTAGGAAAATCCACAGTTCCTGTCCGTGTGAAGAAGCATGTAATAGGGTAGCACTGAATATCTTCTGCAAACAGCTTCTACTAGATAGAGGTGGATGGTGCATGAGTGCGTGAAGTGAAAAAGGGGAGATTATTGGCTCAGTGATAAGGAAAAATCAGAAACGGATATTGGGACCTATGGACAAGTAGAAACATAGAGGTTAAATAAATAGTTTAAAGGAAAAAAAAAAAGCCTATTCCTTTTTCAGAAGAAAGTAAAGTGTGTGCGTGAAAAGCTGACCATAAATAACTTATTTTTGTCTCTGCAGCAGTTTGGCAAAATCCTAGATGTAGAAATAATCTTTAATGAACGCGGCTCTAAGGTAAGCTCCATTTCAGTATTAAGTGTGCTTGGTTTCTTTTTTGTTTTATTTTAAATAGTCAGTAATCAGAGAAATTAAGCTGTTTTTCAAGCCTGTGGAAAATATCCCAACTATCTCGCTTGGATTAAATTATCTCTAAAAATAAGCTAGCACAGGGCCACACTTTATCCTGACGCTTGAATTGGAAAGTTTGAAGGGAGAGTGTGGCGGGGAGGAAGATAGGAAGTGGGAGATGCCGGCCGTCATCAGACTTAGAGTTGGCCTAAGCTGCTTATTTTAAAGGAAGAGAGAGAACACTGGAAAAAGTGGAATTCTGTTCTGAATTCTGTCAGAACAATTCAGCTTTTAAAAATCGAACTTCAGAATGACATACTTAGAACAAATGTAATGTTTCAGGCGTTCAGTTGACTTGCTCTCTTTCGATGAAGTTTTGACAAGGCTTAAATACAGGGAGTGGCGACTCAGGACTTCCCTGTGAGCCGATGTCCTCCTTCAAGTTACCCCTGGAGAGGCAGGCTTCAGGATGTCAAGTCACTTCAATTACACGTACAGTGAGATGGTTTTTGCATAAGAATGAAAGTAGTAACAGCGTACTATTTGATAGATGTGTTCACTTCTGAATGTGTTCTGTGTAAGGACTGAAAATTTTAATTAAGACTTATTTTCCCCTAGTAATTTACTAGTTTAAATTCCCAATCTATATGATTTAGAATATGTATGCACTAAAATAAGCTGCAGTGTTTTTAGGAAATGAGGGAATGGTTAAGTGTTCAAATGGTGTTGTGAAAAAATACTTGAGTTGAATTTCGGGAAGTTTTGTTTGAAAGTTTTCTTTCTCCTCAGCAAATGAAATACTCCCCACAGACACAATCAGCTGGGGCCCAGCTTGTAAATATTTACCTTGCCGTGTTCAGTTCCACTTGCATTTTTAGGTTAGACCAATTTTTGAATTAATTTTCATTTGGTCGTCTCTATTGAACTTTGGAAATAGCCCTCGGCTATGATTAAATCTCTAAGAATGTAATTTGAGAAAAGCTAAATAAAGCAAATAAATGAGTTACTATTTACCTCTCTTCAATTCCCTGCTCCAAATTGACCATACGATGGGAAGGAAGAGCATATATCTCCAGAGTTATGTATGCGTCCTGCCCTGTCTGTACTGACAGGAATGTGTGTACTGTTCTAATGCTCTGATTATTAGCCCCTTCCTTTATACAACGCATCAACACTAACAGTGTTTAATTCTGACTGTAATCATTATTTGTTAATTATTAAAGAGGTAATTGTACTCTAAGCTTCCAGTGTTCGGTTAAAACAAAAAAGATTAATATGCCTATACAGAGCTTTCTCCAGCACTGAACTTGGTAAGTATTTTTAAAGTGAAATCTGTTCAAACTGTAACCAGTAAAGCTGTTTGTGCTTGTAATTTCCTCACATGGATTTCTATTCCTTTTTTTATAGTTTGCGTTTATTTTTTGTTACCTTTTTGCATACAAGGTGGAAAATAACAATGGTTTAGAGAAGCACATGAATGTAAAACAAATATGTGAAGATTATTGACTGTTTATCTAAAGTAGTAGTTTAAATATTTTTGGTTTTAAGTGTATGCACTTAAAATATTCTTATCTAGACTCTAACTGGAAGCCCAATATAATTCCATCAGGCATTGAGGACTTGCTCCTTACCAAGAAAATAATTTGATTGAATTCTTGTGAAGCAAAGGAAATTGATCTTTCGTAAGGCTTCTTTCATTGACTTCAAGGATTTGCCTACTACTAAAACTTTTTAAATTTACCCAATTCAATTGCTTCTCCCCTGTAATTTTCATTTTAAAATGACACAAGCTTCCTTTTCTCTTTGGAGAATCTAGAAGCATATGCTGCTTCTCTCAGCTGGATGCTGTGTCCTCACTGCCCCCTTTTTCTTTGCGCTGCTAAAGGGTAGACAGACTATGAACTAATTGGTCAATGTTTTTAAAACAAAGCACAGAATTGGGGATTGCCAAGGACTGATAGAGAATCTGCCTTCATCTTTTGCCCTTCTTAACTGTTCCCTACGATTCTGTGCTGGAATGGTCCCCCCGCGAATGGTCCCCCCGCGACTGTTCTAAGGCTCGTGGATAGAGATTTATTTTGGAGTCTAAAACCTAGATGCTGCTTCTGGGATCTGCCTAAGATAAATTGAGGACTTGTCTTTTTGTAAATTAAGTTTAGTTTCTCATTTCTTATATGCTTAGGGTTGACTATAAAATTAAAACATCTTGAGAGAAACCAGAGAAAAGGAGACTTATGTGGTCCTATTGTTTAGTTAAGAGTTGCTCAGTCTTTTAACAGAATGGTTTTCTGTACAGAAATCAGCTTTATTGAATTGTTTTTTGAAGCAGTAATGGAAAAACTGGTCACAAAATAATTCTTACATGTAATAAGGTATTTAACCAAATGACTCCAAAACAAAAAGCAACTCTTTACCTGGTCTTATTTTTTATAATGAGACTTTCAGTCCAGGGTTTTCAGAGATAGCCACGTAACAACATAAGTGAACACTGTTAGGCTCTCTGCCTGACAATATTCTACCTTTTCAGCTTGCCTGAAGAGTAGAATTTCAGTGCTCCCAGAAGTAACTGGTTTTTTGTTGTTGACCTCTTTCATTTTTTTCTTCTTTGATTTTTATACTCTGGATTTGGTTTACCTAGATTACAGAATGAATATCATTTACATGCATGCAAACATATTTTAAAATCTTCTTTTACTCCCCTACTCCTTTGTAAAAACATAGCCAGCTGTATCTAATTTTCTGTGATTAACTGAAACAAAATTAGACTATCCTTTTGAAAATGTTCACTTAGGATGCGTGATGAAAAATGGCACCCCTGCCAAAAAATTAACTAATGTATTCAAATAGAATCTAGAAAATTATTATACGGATATGTATAGCTTTATTGATTCTCCAGATTTTACCAGTCATGACAAAGTATTAATACAAACAGTAGGAAGATAATATTTAGGTAGAGTGGCCGTATGTTCTGGTTTATCCACGATGTTCCCAGTGTATACCTATTGTCTTAGCATAATTATTAATAATGTCTCCTTCCTTCCTCAAAGTGTCCAATTTGAACAATAAGTTATATTGTCACTCTCCTTACAGATATTTTGAGTGGCAACTTTTATAAAGCACCCTTTTAAAAACCATTATTAAAGGAAAACATGTTTAATGAGAAGTAGAAAGAAAAAAAGAGTGTACATAGTTCATTAAAGAGAATATTCACTAATATTCTCATGTATTTCCTTCCAGTCTTTTTTCTCACATAGACTCTTAAACAGAAGTCTAGATACTGGCCACCTACTTCAGCCCCCAGTGCTCTCAACCTGGCCTTCACACTTTTAGTGACTGAGGACTTGTTGCTTTTCCAAAGTGTATTCCATTATTGAAATTCAGACTTTCCACCATCCTGCTCACTGTCACCCAGTCCATAGCGATTTGTTTGTCATAATTATCAACCTTATGAAATACAGAAATGCACAGATTCTGACATTTATATCTTCCAGCAAGTTTTCTCAACACACTTTTGCTATAGTTGTCTCTTGAAGGGGCTTGAATTAGAGACACGGAGGGTATAGAAGCTCCTCGCCTCTTCAGAGGGTGCCGGTTATTAAGTCCGTTAAAGGGCTGCAGAACAGAGACCGCACAGTAGTGAGATGTCCAGCAGGGTTTCAGTCAGTGTTCCAGCACTTCTCTCCGGTGGATTTCTGGAATGATGAGGATCTGGGTTCAGGTCAGGCTTAAGTTTGGGCTGGAGTTAGGGAAGATAAAACCTCTATCCCCGTTCCTCAGACACAAGTAATGTCATTTCTGGCCTGTTTCCCTGGCTTTTGAGTTCACACAAAGGGAAATTATTTATGTCTTTCAAATATGGTCAAAAGACTGTCTTTGAAATTGCACTAAGTAGGCCTCTGATTTCAGTAAAATTTGATAGGTAATGCTGAGGTGAAATGTTTTTTCATTATACTTAAAATGGAATTAACAGTGCATGTATTTCCAAAGGGCTTAGTTTATTTTCTTTTGTTACCATTTTATGGGTTTTAGTTTTATTTTTCTTTTATTTATTTTTTAATTTCTGTGTTCTGGCCATACCCAGGAGAACCGTCTGCTTTTGATTTCTCCCTTAAAAGTTACATGGTAAATTTTCTTTCTCATTCTTCTGAGATGGAAAAATTCAAAGATTATACAAATTAAAAAATATTTTTACAATGCTTATCCTATTGCTTGTTATTTATTGCAGTCTGAGGCCAGACTAAAAAGGTGACAGTTATTCGGCTCCCATATGCCCTTGATGATAAATGGATGTCAAGGCAGGTGATAAAATTTTTGTCACATGCAGTAGACGTTTTCACCACAATTGTGTTCACCTGATGAACACAGCATTCCTCGATTTCCAAAAGACAGCAGCTGAGATAGCTGGTAAATCACTACTCTAACACTGGTGTCTTTGAATTAGCATAGAAGGACCTGGGAAGCTGAGAAACTTAGAGGAGCGCGTAAAGCACACAGAGCTACGCTGTCAGTACAGCGGCCATGTGGGCGCTTGAAATGTGGCGAGTCTCAAGTGAGATGTGCTTTACGTTTGAAATGCACGCTGAGTTCGGAGACTTAGCACAAAAAAGGAAGGTTAGACATCTCACTAATAATGTTTTTGTATTGACGCCATGTTGAAATGATAATATGTTGTGAGTATTGGGTTAAGTAAAATAGATTATTGAAATTAATTTCACCTGGTTTTACTTTTTTACTGTGGCTAGTAGAAAAGTTTAAATCATTCGTATGGCTCCTGTTATTTTTCTCTCAGGCACTGCTTGTAGGCAAACATGTCAGTATCATTTTTTTTAATTAAAAATAAAAGTCTACCTTTTGTTTATCAGTTTTTTATCTTCTTACATACTTGAAATATTTACTCTTGTTGCGAGTTTGAGATTAAATCTCAGTTTGACTTTGTAGCTGTTTCCCTGTTTGATACATTGTATGGTCATTTTGAAGCTCTTCTAAGGAAAATGTGTTAGGTTTAGACATAATTTTATTAATTTATTTTTCAAAGCAAGAGATCCAAATGACTAAACTTAATGTGAATTAGATTTGTAAGAATGAAGGAACATTAAAACATAATTTCGTGTAGACATATTTTCTTCTTAGTAACTTTATAAACCTGCATAATCTGTGAATATCCTTAGCTCAATTCCTGGCACATTTTCAAAAACGCTAAATTTTATTGAAGAAACAGTACATAAAAATTTTTTTTCAAGCTTTGAGTCAATATTCTTGGAACCAAATTGTAAATGTGGTAGATAAGCACTCGTGAAGTTGAGCTGATGGAAAATCACCTGTTTAAAGTTTCAACAGAAGAGAGTAGGATTTAAGAAGAATACTCTAAAAATGCTGGTTACACTTCTCACCTTCCTAGTCACAGACTAATTCTGAGAGGTATATATTAATTTCCTCTTGTTTATGAACAAATCACCTTCAAATTTGGTGGCTTAATACCACACACATTATTATCTTACAGTTTTGGATGTCAGAAGTCCAAAATGGGTCTCACTAGGCTACCGTCAAAGTGTTGGAGGGCTGCATTCCTTCAGGTGGCTCTAAAGCATAATCCATTTTGTCGCCTTTTCCAGCCTCTGGAAGCAGCTCACTTGCCTTGACCTATAGCCCCCTTTCATCTTCAAAGCCAACAGTGGCCAGTCCGGTCTTTCTCAGGCTGCTGTGCTCTGGTTCTGACACCCCTGTTTCCCTCTTTCACGTATAAGCACGTTGTGATTACATTGGGCTCACCTGGATAATCCAGGATAATCTCCCTGTCTCAAGATCGTTGATTTAATCACATCTGCAAGATCCGTTTTGCCACGTAAGGTGACATATTCACAGGCTCCAGGGATGAGGACGTGGACAACTTTGGGGGCCGTTATTCTGCCTGCCCACAAGGTCTGTTTATCTTCAAAGGAAAGAAAGAAATCCTCTTACCTCTATGTTTCACATCAGGAAGTCTCAAAGTATCAACAAGGCCTTCTTCCTCCTGCCCTAGGTAAAGATGCTTGTAAAGATTGCTTTATTTTTATATCTTTGGTATCTTGATTAGCATTTCCTTTGGAGTATAAGCTTTTTTTTTTTTTAAGATTGGCACCTGAGCTAACATCTGTTGCCAGTCATCTTTTTTTTTTTCCTTCTTTTTCTTTTTCTTCTTTACCCCAAAGCCCCCCAGTACATAGTTGTATATTCTAGTTGTAGGTCCTTTTGGTTGTGCTATGTGGGACACTGCCTCAACGTGGCCTGATGACAGGTGCCATGTCTGCGCCCGGGATCCAAACCAGTGAAAGCCCGGGCCGCCGAAGCAGAGTGCACAAACTTAACCACTCAGCCGCGGGGCCGGCCCCAGCACTTTTCTTTATAAAACAATTGTAAAGCATTTGAAAGTGAAATTTTGTTCCAGAATATTAAAGTCATTATTGAGAAAACCTTGCACAAGCAGACCTTAATGTTAGACTTGGTCTCTTGCTGACTATAAAATGTCAACACTTATGATACCGGCCTGTGTTCTTCTGGATGCAATTATTGTGTCACAGATGTTCTATCAATACATTCCAGAAAGGAAAGTCATAGAACACATTTAGCAATTCGGTTTGAAAAGGAAAATTAGAAGGATTTTAGGACTAATGTAGTTTAGTAAACAGAATGCTGAACTTAGATTTCAAAGCTTAATTTCTGACTTTCTCACTGTTAGCTGTAGGAAGAAGCTACATGGAAGGAAGAAGACTTTGTTGATGCTTTGGGCCTTGTTGATACTTGGGTACTTAACCTCAGTTTGACTCAGTTTCTTTACCTTCAAAATGATGTTAACAAATTTATCCTTTCTACCTCATGATTGTATTTAAACAAGTATGTATGTATGTGGGTGTGTAGATATTGATAGTCATAATGCTAAAATTAAAAATCTAAGTATTAGTCTCCATATAGAATGTTATCCAATTACTAATTTATAATTTATTAATTTAACCCAAGGCATAAAATGTATGAGCCTGTGAGAATCAGTTGGAATACAGCTTATAATACTTCTAAAATGTGACACAAAAACTCAACACTGTCTGTGACTTTTCTTAAGAGGTTTAACTTTCCCCAATGGATTCTCCAGGGTTGGAGAAACTGACTTCCTCTCTTCAGCAGATGCTAGTGAAAGTGACAAATGGTGTAATTAATTAGTAATTTACCCTTGTATACTTTGAATTGTCAAAGTGGCTATAACATGTCTATATCAAAATTTGTTCCCAAGAATGTGTTCCCATTGATGTTTTCAACACATTTACATTTTTAAGGAAACTATTAACTAAAGTTACCCATAGTATTCCATTTCCAAGCAACATATATTTAAGTTTCTGTCACCTTAGCATTGCACTGTCAGCATAGCATCTAGAGTATTTGTGGTGATATCCAAACTGAAGGTAGAGACAATCCGTTGGAATCCTCCATGGGGCACCACCCAACCATATAATCACTTAGAATGCTGAGTAATCAGGTCCTTCAAAAACAATGGAGCTGCGTTTATAAAATCTTAGTGAGCAATGCACACTGTTTACCATCTCAGTTAAGAGCACGGTTCGTATATGTAGGACTACTCATGGCATTAAGCAGCAAAGCGGAGCTTCAGTAAAAATAAAGGGTTCCAGGTTATCCTACAATGGAGTAGTCAAAGAAGGCTAGAGAGACAGTGAAGCCATTGAGAAATGAGGACTTTCCCAGAAAATCTAAGAATTTACCACTAAGATTTAAGTAGCTTGAGAAAATTTTGTAGTTGCAGAGTGGAAAGATAAGAACAAAGCACGTAGAATGAAACTGATATAATGCTTTATGAAATAGTCATATAAGTGTATAGTAAATCCTGCTGGTGTTGAAATTGGTAGTATGAATATGACCCGGACAGTCTTTTCAGATATAATGTGAATAAAAGGTAAAGTGCGTTACTCCCTGGTCTCCTGGTTTGTCTACTTAATGAATTAAAGCTCTGTCGTTTTTTTGCAGCATCTACAATGCACAAATAAATTAGTCCTAACTCATAGTAGCAGCTGTATTGCTGTTTTATTGTATTCTTCTCCTGTTGAATAGTATGCAACTGATGTCACTAACGCAGAGCTCATCCCCGTTGCCTTTGACTGTTCCTTTTCTCTCCATATGGAAAATTATTAATACATTAAGAAGCAGATGTAGGCTTCAACAAATGTATAATTTAGGCAAATTTTGAAAAGCAGTTTTCTGAAATTCAGCTGAACATATTTTTACTGTTAAGTGCCAGTCTGGTCATTTAAAATTGGCATTGGAAAAAGTCGTAATTGACTCACCACTGCTTACTGATGTTTTCGTTTGCTTAGACGAACATGAGTGCTCTCCTCTTCCAGCCCCAGTACCTACAGAATTACGCATCAAGACTGTGTCTCAGAGTATCCTGTTCCCCAAGGAGTTGATGGAGATAGAAGCAGCAGGCAGAGTGGAGCCAAACTGATTAGACCTCCCAAAAAGTCTCGTTGTACAATGATCGCACCTAAGTATCAGGTTTCATGTAGAAGTTGCTGGAGAATAATAGATTTAATTAAGTATTTCTTAGTATTGTATAAAGGGATGTGTATATTAACAGCGTGAACTGAGAGAGAAAGGTAGGATGTAAAAAAAGTGTTCAGATTCCTGGTTGAATAGTTTGACCCGAGTAACTCTGTACCTTAATTTTGGTCTGGCCTCACATGCTTTATGTTTTATTATTGTTATTAATTACATTATTATTATTATTATTATTATTATTATTACTACTACTCCTACTACAGTTCTTTATTCTTTTATTGGGTTTAATTTCCCTTTACAAAATATGCATGGACCAAAAATGTGCCTTTGGGAGAGTATTGCTGAGTTGTTGCTGATGTCGGTTTCACACTGTGATATTTTTCTCTGTTTACCAAGAGATCAGTATTTCGATGTAACGATGTGCATGTTCTCCCCTTCTCCCGCTGCATGCAGGGATTCGGGTTCGTAACTTTCGAGAATAGTGCTGATGCAGACAGGGCCAGGGAGAAATTACACGGCACCGTGGTAGAGGGCCGTAAAATCGAGGTGCATGTCTTCAATAATTCAATTTCTGGTTTATATTTTTATTTCTCTTTTTTGTGTATTGCCTCACTTATTTCACATTTGGAACCCTGTCTTGTTCATGTGTGTGCACACGTGTATGTGTTTGTACCGTTGTGTCCTTCACCTTCTTGCACTAAAATGTATAAAAGTAGCACTCCTATCCTCCTCTCTCGTATGTTTTGGTTGTTTGGGGCTTATAATTTTGATTTACTTGTGTGTATGTGTATTTGTTTTTCATTTACTTTTTCCTCCAAAATGTTCATCCTTCTGCTCTCTTGATTTTTTTCCTTTGCTTCAATTTGCGAGACTCTGAATTCCTGTGATCAGACCAAAATAAAACTAACTAAAAAGATGTCTAAAAACTCTCCAATTTATAACATTGTGTCCTGTAATGAATCAAGGGGCCAGCCAATACCCGCTCTCTTGAGAGGCCAGTTCGCCTCCATGTGCATGTGATAAGCAAAAAAAAGAAGATTCTGGGGAGGGAGGAAAGAATCCAAAACTCATATGATCTTTAAATATATTTAATATCAAGAATTTCAACAGTTAATGGAGAAAATCCTCGAACAGAGGGTTTGATGGCTGCCTGGCAAACGTACTATTATTTTGATTGAGTCAGCCATCTGGTGTTCACCAGCCCTTTTTTATAACGCAGTGAAGGTTAACTGGCCCCTTTCCCCTTTCCTGGTTTTTAAAAGTATGAAATATACAAGCCACCATTTTGAGTAAGATGTCTGCATATTTTGCTTTTTTTCCCCCCTCCCTTTCCAATGGTTTAGCATTTAGGGCCCTTCACTTGACTCACTCTTTCCATGGTAACTATACACAATGCTGGCGATGGTGCCCGTTGGCGGTAAGTGAAACAAAAGCACTAGAGAAGAAGCTTTTTAAAATGTAATTACAAAACAAATAAGAAAGAAAAAGTCCATCTGCCATCTCACATTAACACTACAAAATGTGATTTGACTTGTCGTTCCTCTCCCTCTTCCTTCCCCCTTTTATTTTCAATGCTGTTGAGTAATGCCGCCTGGACTTTGGATGTACACATTGTTTTGTAGCAGTCTGAGCTGTTTGATTACTGACGTCATGGTGATTTTCCCCCTTGCACATCTTACTCAGAGTTACTGAACTCCAGTTTGGCTGGTTTTATTAATGCACTTCCTGCCCCTACTGCCTTTCCTCCTTTCCTCTTTCCCAAACTGTTTGTAGCTGTGACTGTTCTTTCTTTGCCCTTGACAGCTCTCCTTCCTGCCCGTGACACCCTTCCTGCTGTCCTCTTTGCTTTGCCCTGCCTTTTTGTTCTCTTTGCCCAGTTCTCTTCCTCTGCCTTCGCCACCCCTTCTCTCTGTTCCCTGCTGCTGTTGGTCCCTTGCTGACTGGTGGTTGGTTGGTTCTGGCCATCTCCCTTTAAGTGCTTGGGTGCGCCCTGCTCTCGCCGCTTCTGTGAGCTCCTGCCCCATTCTAACCCTCCTCTGTGAGAGCCTCGCTCCTCACTTTCTCCCTTTCCAAAAGTGATTGTTTTTTTCTTTCTTTTATTTGTGTGTGTGTGTGTTTTTTAACTGCATGCTCTCAGTCTCATCATTGTTGTATCCCATTCTTTTTTTTAAATGTGAAATGTTTATATGATTTGGTGGGTCAAACTAGAGTAAATGTAGTTTCAAGCTCTTTTCCTCACATGGGAAGATTATCTCTATACAAATTCTACAAGACACATTAAGACGTTTTTTAATTCCAATTCTACCCAAAATTGGTCTTTTCCTAACACAAATTTATCACTATACAAATCTAACGTAATGTAAATCCCCAGAGGCAAAATAAGACATATTTATATTTTGTGTGTTTCATAATTCTTTTAAAAACTGGCCTTTTTTATGCCCTCACAATGCAGTATATAATCAAGTTCTGTGGTGAGGCTTTACCCTCCTTGCAAGAGCTTCGAGGCTGATTCTGACGCTGGGCTTCATTATTCTGGCTTCTACGCTCCGTTCGTCTTTTCTTCATCACCATCTTTGTAACACGGCTTACCTTAGCACCGAGAGTGCGTTAAATTATGCAGTTCTGTAATGAGGGTAGGGAGTACCATAAAAGAAAAAAACGCAAGCTTTATTTTTTCAATTAAGTGCCTAATTTAAAGGCCTTCTGAAAACTTTATTCTTAAATGAATAGACCACATAGTCTAGAAAATTCAAAATGGTCTGGAAGACCGTCAAAATGAGAATCTAAGTTTCTGTATTTGTTCACCAGCCTCAAACCAGAAAACCTATACAAACATATCAAAAATGCTGAGCATTAGAACAGGTGAAATCCGTAGATTTATTTTCGTATCTTCCTGTAAATCTGCTTCCTGACCAATGTGGCAAGCCTCTGTTTTATAAATGAACTTTAAAGTTCATGTGCAAACGGAGTTGTTTCCAACTTAATTTTTTCCGTATTTTCCTTAATGCAGAGACTTCTCTGTTTAAGAAATCTCCAAAAAACTTGCAAATGTATTTTTTTTGGAGTTCTGGATAGTAAAGTAGTCCTAGTTTTCCATTTGGAGACCAAGAAACTGCCATTTACTCTTGTTAACCTCATTTAATAATCACTTTAATTAAAGTACTGTATATTAATATTTTATATTGCTATATTAATTATTTAAATCAGTGCTCTCTGAAATTTACATTTTAAACTGAGTACTATGTTATTGGATGAGCAATTCTGTGTTCCCTAATGTGGTCTACTTCCTCACTGCCCCTTCCTTCTACTTTGTATTTTTAGGTGAATAATGCTACAGCACGTGTCATGACCAATAAGAAGATGGTCACACCATATGCAAATGGTGAGTGGTTGCAAGTCATCTTCAGAAGGATGTCATTTTTTCTTGTGTAAATATGTGGACTTTTCATAAACATCAAAGAATCTCTCTTGATTTCAGTTTTGAGACAGTTTGTTTCATTTGTCTTCAAGTGTTTTCTTTACCTAGGAGACTGTTGTATTTTTACAAATTACCTTTTTCTTAGAATGAAGCCGTTTTTTAGTTATTAAGGTTTTATGGTCTCAGGGAAGTTCACGTCATATGTGGTTACCTGTTAACCCAAGCGAGGTCCTGCGAGGGCACCGTCGTTTTTAGCTGCTGCGGCTCTTTGTCATATGTCAGGCTTGTCCACGGTGCCTCCGGATGCCCGCCCACTCTCACTTGTATAGCTGATTCCTTCTCATCTGAGCATGAGTGGAATAATTCTTGACACTTACTGTCCTTCTGCTCTAGGGGTGATAGCCATGGGGAGTGGTGTGTATATTTTCTATTTTCTATTCCATGACTACGTTATATAGTGAGTTTTAAAAGTGTTTCCCACTGAGAAGAAAGTTTTCTGTGAATTTTTACATCAGTTGTCAAATTTAATCTAGATTCATGTTCTCCAAATGAGAGGGAATAGGATTTTAATCCTTAGGACAACAGTGGTTTTGCAGACTGTTCCACAGCGCCATCTTGAGGGGAAAAAAGAGGAAACCAAATGGGTTGGGTGCTAAGGCCTCCAGCTCTGCTTTTGATCTGAGCAACTCCTCATTCTCTGTTGTGTATTTTAGAGTTCTGCATAAGATTTATCTAGCATAAAAGGGGGAGTTTCTCCCTGTTTATTGCTTTGTAAAAGTTTGAACCCACTACTAGAGTATGACGGTATATGCTGGTAATGTCTTAAATCAAGTCTAAGTCTATGAGTATTGAGTGTGTCCCACAAAGTCTTCAATGAATCATGCAGCCTAGCTTTTCAAACAGATGATGCAATGCAGCATAATTTGTGTTTTCCCTACTCATTTGTCAGTGGGTATATCTGATACCACCACCTCCCTCTTTACCTCTGATTTTCTTTTTACTGCTATCACAAAAACAGAAGTTTCTGCAATTTTGATAAAAACCCAATGTAATCAAAATAGGAAGGAGAGGCGAAGTATGTGAGATTTCCTTTAGACGCAGAGAGAACGGTGTGGCAGAGAGAGCCGCTGACTGGAACTCAGATGACAGCAATTCTGCTTCTACATGCGCCTCTTCTCTTCACTCTGTGACCGGGGCCAATTTTCTAACTTATCTGGTTCTGTTTTCATCTCTGTGAATTGGCAGTCATAGAATTTTAGCACCAGAAGTTCCTTTAGAAGTCATCAAAACCCAACCCTTTTAGCTTATTATTTAGGAAATGAAGCCCAGAGGTGGTGGCTATCTTATCTTTCCCTTCAGGTTTTGTCAAGGTCAAATGACATAAACATCTGTGAAAATACATTGTAAATTGTAGAAAACTAAACATATTCAGAGTATTATTGACAGCATACCATTATTATAACGTATGCACTTAAAGAGAGTGCTTGCTTAGGTAATAATGCCATTGGTAGGAAAGGAAAAGCTCATTTTTAAATATTATTCTAAATCAAATACACGCCTAATGGAGCCACACTTTAGAAGCTTGCTGCTGCTGTGTTAAAGGTTCCGAGAAGAGTGTGCTCAGTGCCTTCAGTGCATTCTCAGTCGGCGTTTTAGTTCATGTCGGTTGGAATCGCTTGATTGTCTGACATCGCAGAACATTGGTACTCTCACAACTCTAGTAGGATTTGAACCCAGGTTCTGCCAAATTTTTTGTGTAGAATAATGAAGAAGCATGTCTATAAACCCATAAAATAATGAATGGGGGATTGGAACGATTCAGAATGAATGGATTTTCTCTTGAATAATGTCTTTGCTTTTAGCCATTTAAATCTGGTAATTGACCTTTTCTTCTTTCCATTCATTTATTTATCAAGTGACAGTGGCACAATGTTAGCCCTAAATAACATAAAAGAAATAAACCGAAGAGCCAGTCTTTCAGATGAAGAATAGGGCATGTGTACTTATTTATGTATAAAATTCAATAATATTCATTGATTAAAGTTTTCATATGGAGTTCTACTTGTTAGCTATCAGTGGGCAGTAGTACATTTTTCTTTTTTTAACACTTGCCATTCCTACAAATATAAAGTTCTATAAATATAAAAAAGAGAATGAAGAAATAAAATTGACATCAAACCTAATGTTGTTTGGAAATACTTAAAATTTATCAGTGTTTAAGCTCATATTCAACAGCAGTCTAATATCCTTTAGCTAAAAAGTCTGATTAATTTAAGTATGTTCCTTACAAATTAAAATCTCAGAAGACATGCGCTGAAGTTGGGAATGTGCCTTGAATTTTATTGTTGCATGTCTCTCCTTGTTGACTTGGTTAACTCCAGTGAGCTCCTGATGGTAAATCCCAATAAAAGGAGATTTCACTTTACCCAGAATCCCATCAGCATGGTACAATTGAACAGGGAGTTCAGAGAGCCAGGTGAAATTTGAATTGAGTCAGAGGGTACCTGATAACACAACTAGAGTAGTAAACAGTGTTAAGATGACATATAAGAAAGTGTGTCACAGTGTGGCATAGGACGAGATACATTCTGCCTTGTTTCCTTTTTCTAAACAAAGCATAGGTCATTACGCAGTTCTATGAGAGACACTATACCAAACCTGGGATTTATTTGTATTTCTTTTTCCTTCTCTCATTCCGTCTTCTTCCTACCTCCGTCTCAGTTTCTTTCTCTCCCCACTTTATCCCTACTCACTACCCCAACCCCTCATCATCCTTTCACTGTGCTAGTGCTGCTTAAAGATAATCAGGTCTGGAAACGTCATCACCTTCTCGTATAAACCCCCCACTGGCATTCTAAAGAGAAGTTGGTAATAGGCAAAAATCAACCCAGCAGTGTCTGAAGCCCACTTGCACACCCCTTCTTTGCCCTGTACTCCTCATGGAGTCTTAAGTGCTCGCTGTCCTCTCTTCCGTTGCAGGTTGGAAATTAAGCCCAGTAGTTGGAGCTGTGTATGGCCCCGAGTTATATGCAGGTAGTATTTAAGTTAACTTTTGCATTTGTGCTATTTAATTGTAACAACATCTGTTGCTTTTCAACTTACTATTCTTTTGTAATCTTTTTGCATTTTTTAATTTTTTTTTAATGCAATCAGCATCCAGCTTTCAAGCAGATGTGTCCCTAGGCAATGATGCGGCGGTGCCCCTATCAGGAAGAGGGGGTATTAACACTTACATTCCTCTAATCAGTAAGTAGCCTATGTTGACCTGACGTGGATTTTGAGTGTTGTGAGTAAACAGGGATGTGCTAGTCTTTTTTTTGCCCCAAGTATAATACATAATTGAAAAGGAGGCATTCTCAAGAGAAATGAGTACTATCATAACGCTCTGTCCTGCTTAGCCTGTGCTAGAATCCTTCTGACCAAACACTAAGATTGCCACAAAGCTTAAATTGTTGGAAAAGGTAGAAGGAAGGGAGGGCCTGTAAAGAACACTTTAGTCTGCACTTAATAGCAAAGAAAACAGAAGGAGTAAGTGTTTGTGGAGCATATTCTCTGTGTTCTCTGCAAGTCGGCTTGGGCTCTCTAGCAGAGCGCCACCCCACACCACCTCCAGTGTCGACTCTTCTCAGCTCTGGGGGCTTCTCTAGAGTCATTTTGACCTGAGCCATTTTGCTCCAACAGGAGGTATAATTAAACAGAGTTCGGTGGACATGGAATCAGTGTTTCTCCGTGCTTTCCAGAGGACAGCACGCTTAAAATAGACCCTTAGAAAGTGTCTGCCTCTTTAAAGGCTCCAAGGCTACAACAGAGAGGAGGTTCCCCTCTTACCTCACATTTCTGGATTAAAACATTTTAGATAAAGGAGTAAGGGTGACTGATAAAATGTCTAAAGACCATTGTGTGCCTTGTGGTTTGGCACCATGTAAAAACAGAAGAGAGTATTCTTATGAGGAATAGTTATTACATGCGCATAATAATGTTTAGAAACAAGATTAGTAATTGGCCAGTTAAAGAGTTTCTACCAGTCAATTTACACTGTCCACAGAAATTTAGTCTCTCCTCTTATCATGGCAGTAGTTCTCAGAGCTGCTTGACCTCTTTCTCACCAGCTTGCATTGTAATTCCAAAATTGGGAAGGAGCAGAGAACTTACTCAAGACTTGTGATGACTGAGGCCTGGAATCATTAGCTTTTGCGTAGTGGGTCTCTCTGTTTCTTTTTCAGAAAATATGTGGTGCATATCTTTTCATCTCTCCTGTTATTGATTCAAAGCACGTTGTGACTGCACACCTGCTATTGAATGCAAGTTGACATTTCTGTCATATTTTGGGTCTCCCTTTAGTTCCTGGCTTCCCGTACCCAGCTGCAGCCACCACGGCGGCCGCTTTCAGAGGAGCCCATCTGAGGGGCAGAGGGCGGACAGTGTATGGCGCGGTCCGAGCGGTACCTCCAGCAGCCATTCCTGCCTACCCAGGGTAAGCATTAGATTCCAAAATAAGCAATTGGACAAAACAAGAATACCATGGCCCTTATAACTTCTGGGACATTGCCGTGCCACGTAGTAGAGATCCTATGAATATTTGCAAATTAATGGATAAGATGGCAAGAACCAAAATATACCATGATCAGAATGTAATGAAATATCAATTCATTAGATAAATCTTCATTTTGGCCACCTTAAGCCCTCACAGTAGTGGCTTAAGACAGTAGCCAGAACCGTCTTGTGTTTACTAGCAGTGTGTTGGCATGGAGTTCACTCAGCATCGCACGAATGTGGATTAACACTACTACAGAGAACCAAAATAGGAGCTCAAGACTGTAGAGCAGACCGCGTCTGCTGTGTTCACCCCCGATCACCACCCTGTGTTGGGGCTGAGGCCATCACACGTGCCCTCTTTTTGGTTTCACTGCCTGGGTGGTGAGCAGCAGACCTAGTTACCCACAATGGATTTGCTTTCTTTGTAGGAAACGGATTAAAAGAGTTTAATTCAAAGATGAACCAAGTCCAATTGAATCAAGGCAGAAAGGGAGAAGTAGGAAGAATTAAACTACAGTTGGCTTCTGAATGATGGTAAAATGACTAATGGAGCTGAGCATCCTTCACCCTTTGATTTTTGTATGGAGGGTGTCTCATGCAGTGGAATGATTCCGTAGCAACAAATAAATCCTTTGTTGTTGAATAAGGGGAAAGGAGTGAAGATGGCAGGTTTTGTTTTCAGTTGTTTCTCACTGTCAGCCTAAAAATGTATATCTTTATAAGGAGTGGACTTTTAGTTGTATCAAGGACTTTCTTCAAAGATGTGGCATTTGTGTTCTTCATCTTTTCTCGGCCTGTGACAGGTTTTCCCCATATCCTTACTGAGGAATAAACATGGTGGCGGCGGGGCCTGGTCACTGCTGCTTAGTTCCAATATAAAGGGAAAGAGCCTGCTTTGTAGGCCCTTTTCTGACAGCAAAATTGGGTTCGAGGTGTGCTAAGTTAGCATGCATTGATAGACCAAACGGGCAGGCCGTTAGGGGGCCTCCGTTGCACAGAATTAAAGCATTTTTATTAGACAAGTGTGCACATTGATACAGGCAGGCTCCAAAAGCTGCTGGAAGGGAACTGCTTTAGAAATTAAACCTTTGTTTGCAGTTTATAGGTGTTTAAATCCCATGCATTCCATCATCTCCATCTTCTGCCATTACTTACTTTTAATTTTATCCTTTTTTCTCTCAACTTGACCTTTGACCTTCAACCTCTGACATCTCTCTTCAAAGATGTGACTAAAGATGCATATTGTTTCCTCAAGAAATAGTCAAGGAAAACATACAAACGAACCTTTTGGAAGTTGTGCACACTAGGAAAATTGTTCCTGAAGCATCTTCCATTTCAGTCCAGGAGAGTTTACTGTCATGTTTGCAAAGAGATACTGCTCACCAGAGACATGGGACTTCATTCTGTAATATTGCTAAGTTTCTTTAGGCAGTGGTTGAATCCGTTCCTGTGCAGAGTAGGTCATTTCAGCATGTGGCCGAAGCTGAGAGCCCGTTCTCTACCAAGTCTGTCAGGTGTAGATTTGCTCGAGGACACTATCTTCATGTCTAATCACATCAATGTCTGTGCATTACATTGAACACTGATTTCCCATGTTTTCTTTTTTATTAACTAAACCACTTGTTTACATGGAAGATGGCAAGGAATAAGTCCAGTATTTTATGGGGAATGGCCTAAAGTTGCTTTTCAGCTTAGTGAACTAATTTCATCATTAATCATTGTGTTCCAGCCTCACTATGGCATTTGATACAGGGAATATTGGAATTCCTCTAGAATTTAGGTGAATATTCCCAATGAGTGATGCAACTCAGCGTAAAATTTATTCGTGCTTTTAATGCCACCACTCTTCTTTGCAGAAGACATGTTTTTCCATCTTTGCCTATACCCCCTTACTGAATTGTTGAAAGTTAATGAATCAGCACTTGGCATCAGTGCTTCGCGTTTTATCAGCCTTCTCATTATGAACAAGTCTCCTTTATCTACTAAAATGCAGTTGAGAGGCAGATTACTTTCTAATATCAGACTTTAACTGCAATTGGAGATAATAAAAGTGGGTAGAACTTAGCTAAATGAAAATCACAGATGAATTTAATTGCCTGTTGTGTAATAAAAGGCACATGATATTTGAGGCATTGCAAAGTGTGACCATACTGTCGTGTAAACACACCAAAGTGTCATTGGAAGTAGAATTCAGAAACTTTCCAGCAACTGATAAGAAATAAGTTATTTCATATCCAAGTTAAAAATATGATTTGATGACCTCACTTGCTAGCTTGTTTATTGTAACAGAGAAGGTAGTGGTGAAAATATCCAGTTTGTTTAGCTGAATAAATAAACAGATCTTCTAATTGAAAATAGCCAAATTTTGGTTTAACAAGTACGAAGAAGAAAGTCTTATCTTTTATCTCTACTGCTGTTCCATGTCTTTTGGTCCCAAAGTAATGTTTTGGGGAAATTATATGCACAAAATACCTCCAAAGGTTTGGAATCTATATTTTTAATTATAATAGTTTAGTGTTGCTCAGGATTAAAAAAAAAAAGTCATGTATTTTGTTTGATACAAATTTGTTTTCTAAACAGGAAAATAAACCCTTCTCTTCTTAATCAGCTACCTTCTCAGTTTTATTCTTTCAACTAAAACAGGTCATGCCTAGAACTTCAGTTATCAATTGTATTTTTCAGAATTCCATTAGTATTCTTATGGTCAAAAAAGAACCCTTAGAATCTTCCAGTTACTCCTTCCCGCTCTGGATTACATTGTTACTATCTGGGATCCCCACTGCACCTTTGAATTCTTGGACCTTGGACCAATCACCTTAACCTTTAGCTCATTATCTCTGCTTGTGAAAGCAATGCATTGTGGGTATTTTTGGTTGTGTTTTTTTTTTAATTACATTTCTCTGTTTACTTTGGTCAGAATTGATTGACTTGTTTTTCTGAGGTGTTGCATTGGTTCTTAAAATGCTGAATAATAATACTTTGCATGCTTGTGTGATCAGCCAAATCTTATCGCATGTCTAATGTGCAGGGTAAAAAGCAGGTGATGTATGGATATCAGAAAAAATTTACGTTACTATGAAACTGAAAACAAAATACTAAACATAATTTTGAAGCATACTTTGCGTACGGGTCCCGCCCTAATGGAATTCTTTGCGTTCATTGTTTTCATGTTAAACCCCTCGCTACATGCCCTCCCCACCACACACACACACACACACACACACACACACACACACACACACACGCCTTTTGAAAATCTTTAAAGAAGAACTTCCTCCTAGGGTGAGCTTTAAAACAAAAATACTTCAGGTATGAAAAGTTGATGTTTCCAGTCCAGCAGATTTTTCGATAGCTGTGTCAGGCCCTCTGGGAATGCTCTTTGTTGTTTTAATCTTACTTGAATTACCAGATCTCTAGGTCGTTGCCTCCAGTCTGGCATTCCTTTCCCTCCTGGCATGTCCTGGAGCTGTGTGACGTGCGTGTGCACCTTCACGGTCTCTCACTGACTCGCAGTGGCCCCAAGCCCAGGTTACGTATTCATACATCACCTGCCTGTGTAGAGCGCATGTGCATGCTGCCGTCCTCAATAACCGGAATGTGTTTCTGTTCTTTTGTTTTTTGTTTTTGTTTTTGTGTGGATTTTCTGCAGTGTGGTTTACCAGGACGGATTTTACGGTGCTGACCTCTATGTAAGTACACACACCGGGGCCTTCTGGACCCCATCCCCTGACAAGCCAGCCTTTTTTTTCTGTTTCTTTGGTTTGGTTTGATTTTTTTTTAATATAATTTATTTAATTTTTATTTTGTTTTTCCTTGTGGATATATATATATATTTATATATTTAAGAATGCAAGCATGCTTCTCTGCCACTGCGCTTGCCCCTGGGTGCAAAAACTAAGCCTTTGGGTTTCCTGATGGTTGCTAGAGTCAGTCTACTGGACATATTCTTTTCCCTTCCCACTGCCCACAGATGTCCTGTATATCACTACTATATTGGCGAGATGATCAGCAGGTTTAAAGTCTTATGACTGTCCTGTCACATGCATACATAAATAACAGGACGAGCTTAGCTTTAAGGCAACTCTTTCCCGTGTCTGCTTTTCCTTCTCATTTCTCATCCCTCTTTAGATCATTAGAGCTTTGATCTACATAGATGGCAATAAGCTTTCTGAACTGTGTGTTTTCCTATCTTACATACTTTGAGCGAGCATTATCTTGTGAAAGTAAATAAGGAACTGATGCCAGTGAAGAGGAGGTAATAATGAGAGAAAGCCAAATGTTCAGTGATTAAGGCCTTTTGTTATCAAAAACTCCACAACCAGTGGATCTGTTTTCTGAAGAGCCATCTAGAGGGAAATGAGTCGCATAATTAGCAACCTAGACTCTTTTTCCAAGCATCTGACTATCACACAAGATCTGTTAATTCTACCAGCCATGTTACCATCATCATCATCCATTATTTAAATTATCTAGCTATAGAGAAAGGTCTGCGATTGGTTTGTCACATATTCTTTAAAATATGGACAAAATGATCTGACAAAGAGTCAAAGTTTTTGAGTTTTGAAGTCTTTGATTCAAACCTCTCCAAATGATCTTTTTCTGAATGCAAGGTTGCTCTCACCGCTCAAATCATTAAGAAACAATTTCATAAGAAAAACTTGTCAGCATGAAATTATTCCTTGGGCATAGGTTAGAAGTGTCTGGAAATGCTTTCTCCACCCTTACCTCCCCAAATCAATAAGGGTACCTTTTTAGTGAGGTAGTTCCGGTCTGCCAGAGATTCTCTGGCAGTCCAGAAATGTGAATGCACTTTCAGAATGCATTTAGGGCAGGAAGTAGAGACAGGGTGAAATCCCCCCTGAGGCACTGCAGTGACTGAACACGCCTGGCCTGTTTAGAGGAGACCTTCAAAGTTTGCGTTAGTTTAACAAACGCTTAAAGGAACCTTCAGCCCTGATTTGGTCCAACCCTGTCACTTTGTAGATATGTTTCTTAGAGAGATTGTTACTTACCCAGATTACATAAATTATTTGTACAGCCAAGCATAAAATCCAACTAATCCATATTTCATGACTTTTCTTGGTAGTTTAATTAAAATCCACCTCTTTCCTCAGATGGTTTTCAAAAAGTAATGAAAGATAGTTTTTTTCCTGTGCTTACAATGGAACTTGAGGGTTGAGGATCTATATGCTACTTTTACTCCAAATTACACTTTTCTAAATATACATATTTACGTGTGATCTTCGCATGTACATTCTCCCATATACATATACATTAGTATCCATATTCTCATGAAACTCATCTTTATGTTATTTAAAGTTGTTTTCTTGAAATCTGGTCTGTTAGAGCACGCTTTTCTACTTGAATTATTTCTTAAGTCAATTTTCTTTTTCCTCTAATATTTTCCTTATTTGGGGATTTTTTTAAAGCGTGGCCTACTGCTACCTTATTACGATTTGCGGGGCCAGCCTGGTGGCACAGTGGTTGAGTTTGCACACGCTGCTTTGGTGGCCCGGGGTTCACCAGTTCAGATCCCAGGTCAGACCTGCGCACTGCTCGCCAGCCATGCTGTGGCAGGCGTCCCATGTATAAGATGGAGGGAGAGGGACACAGATGTTAGCTCAGGGCCAATTTACCTCAGCAAAAAGAGGAGGACTGACAGAGGATCTTAGCTCTGGACTAATCTTCCTAAAAAAAAAAAAAAAAGATTTGCATTCTTCTACCTTGCTAAGTCGACCAACCAAATATTTGTTTACAGTCCTCTCGTTGCCTTAGTTCACACATATGATTTACCCCCCCTGGGGAAGAGTCACCCTGAGCTAACATCCGTTGCCAAGCCTCCTCTTCTTTTGCTTGAGGAAGATTAGCCCTGAGCTAACATCTGGGCCAGTCCTCCTCTATTTTTTTGTTGGTGGAACACCTGCACGGTGTGGCTGGCGAGTGGAGTAGGTCCACACCCTGGATCTGAACCCGCGAGCCCGGGCTGCTGAAGCGGAGCGTGCAGAACTTTGTCCGCTCAGCCACGGGGCCCGGCCCCACACGTAGAATTTTGTGAAGAGAGATGATTTTTCCATACTTGTTGAGAAAACACTCTTAAGTTTTTTAATCTGCTAAACGGATAACCTTCTCAAGCTAAACACTAGTAATTCAGTGACCTTCCGAAATATTTTTTTGACCAGTGGCCCCTTGTTGATGAAAAATTAATATTATTGTTATTATCGTTTCTTAGTTCCTATCTTAAAGCAGTTACTTGGAGGAAAAAGTTGGTCACTAGTGCTGAAATAACATCTGAACCCCCGAACCCGCTCACGAAAACCAAGAATACATCAGGGGTGACTGCTGAGTGAGGCCTAAGGCAGCGGTGGCTTTTAGGGCCTTATGCTCCCTACTCCATGTGTGAGGGGCAGAGGCTGCTTCTTAAAAAGCACACACACAAAGCCTGTTGCTGTACCTTGAGTGTGTTCTCTTCTCTCTGTACATTTTCCCTTCGGTGGAAATCTATCAGTACACATTTAGTTTTTGTTTCCTCAGAAATCAGATTAGAAATAGAAGGAGAGGAGGGTTTATCTCGTATAGAAACCTCCAGAAATCTATATAGAAATCTTCTATAGAAATCTAGTATATAGCACTGAACCAGAGCTTGAAGAGGCAACAGGAGGGAAAAGAGTTTGTGATATTAATTTAGGCTGTTAATTGTGGAGGGTTGGTTTGTTTTTTATACCTCTTTCCCTGTTCTGTTCTTAGCCATAATTCCTGCTGCCCATCCTCCTCCCTTTCTCTCCTTCCGTGGCACACTACTCTCGGGAGAGCTGCTCTGGAGTCGGCCGTGATTTGTAGACCCCTGTGGTGCCCCCTCGAGTGTAGCAGATAGATGACGTGTCCGCCCACCCCTCTTTTTTGGCCAGTAGAAAAGGCGTAATTCACCCTAATTCACTTTTTAACTGGGGTAACAAACTGCTCCTAATTCTCATCCTGTGAAAAGCATGCTTGCATCCGAAGGAAAGAAAAGGCTGGTGGCCCCTTAGCGGGCTTTTTGTATGATTGTTTTCCTTCCACAGCTGTGTTTTGAACTGCTCTTCCTGTGTTCTGTTATAGAATAGTCTTACAGGAACCAATCATTAGCGCTAAAATACCTCAGGTAGGAGTGCCAGTGTGACCTGCCAATCAATCAGATTGTGGATTGCAGTGACAAAATTGAATTATACTAACCATTCCAGCTCCACGTTAGAGATGGGAACAGAGGCTTTTTTGGACAATCAAGACTTGTGAGCGTGTGATCTAAGCCCTGCTACCTCAGCAGTGCACACAGTCAAGTTCCGTACGTGAGGGCACTTCCTCCAAAATTGAGTGCTCCTGTCCCATTGCCACATATCCACAGCAGGCGTGTTATATGCACTGTCCCATCACCGCCACCTCTTTTAGTTCGTCAATCACATTTATCCATGGTGTTTAAACTGGGCTTTTCTATTTGGAGATCTTAGCAGTTGGGGACATTTTCTTACAACTGTGAAAGAAATGAGAAAAGGGAGGAAGTAGAGTCTGTCCAGACAGGACTCCTGGATCCCATATTGGGCCCTGTAGTGAAATCATGGTAGTAATTGGACTTGGCTGCTATGTAAGTTTGAAGTTGCCTTAAAAATCTGGACATATTGAAACTCTAAAAGTAAAATGTGTTTTTCCCTTGCCCTCTTTGCTTTCACCTTAAAACAAGATCAGTGAGTTCATTGGTATAATATGTTAGAAGGTTTGCTGATAGCTGGATGCTAGGAAAAAGAAAAGGGCAGATCGCTTTTTACAATTCAGTTTATTTATGTGGCTGCCCAGCAAGACTTTGGAAATGAACTATTTTGGGGAGATGTGGAATAGTAGAGTTCCTGAAGGGTTAACTCATTAGAGATCATCTCTCAGCCATCGTAGAAGTAATAAGTGGAAGATGTCAAGTCGATCGTAACAATTTCTTCCCTTATCCCCAATTTTAAATAATAATAAGATTAACTTTAGATACTTTTCTTTAAAAACTTTATTATTTACTTTTGAAGGTTGATAGGTCTCTCAATCAAAAGCAGTAACAATATTACTGTTATCAGTTTTTGTATTGACATCTGTGTTATTTACATTTAATCAAAGGTGCCATCTTGCCACGTAAGAACTTGTGTCTCCTAAAGAGCCCCTCATGCAAGTTCAGTCTAGAGCAGTGGTTCTCAGCTGGAGTAGGGAGGAGGTGGGGAAAGGACAGAGTTAGAGTCGTCTAGGGACAAATAAAGTGATGCCCAGAGGCACAGCGGTAAACCCAAGCCTGTTGGAGTAAATCCTCCACTGTTCCAAGCATAGCACCTGGCCCGGCCTCTCCCCTACACCCCCCCACACACCACCCTCCCACTCCCACTCCCCTTGCTCTGTAAATCGATACACCACACATAGGGAACAAGCTTTCATTTTGTCTGCTGGTCTTGAAATACACTCTTCTCCTCAGTGTCACATAATGTCATTGTCTTCCAGGTAGAAAGAAGGTGTCTTGACATCACATGCTCACCAAAGTCCTGTTTTAATGTAAACCTAAAACAAAAATGTAATAAAATTTATGGCTAGGTTAAAATCAAGACAGGGGGAATGTCTACCAGTGTGAGATAAACTAATAGATATGCAAGTATAGGTCAGATATAGGGGGGATGACATGGAGAACCCTTCGATTTTGTTCTAGTTAAAACACAGCTACAAAACCGTGCAGGAAAATCATACGGTCAGTGTGGCAACGTTCTAAAGTTAATTAGATGATAAAATGGATTCAGAGTGGAGTAGAAAGTCTCTAGGAGGTGACCTTGAGCCACGGAAAACTGAGACTCTGGCAACAACAAAAAGATCTTAAAGGTAACGGCATTTTCCTTTGAAAAAGCTGGAAGTTGAAGGCAGGGATATCTCATGGATTGTGAAAAGATGTATTAGACACAGGAAACATTTGAGAACACTGTGGATAGAATGAATGGGTGTCGGCAGAGGGCAAGCACACAAGTGAGTGCCACGGGTCAGGATGGGGCCTGTTGTCAGGGTCAGGCAGGTTGGATGCGGGATGACAGAGTGTTGGGCTGCCCTAGTTGGGAACTTTAGGAGTCATTCAGAGTGAATTACAAAAGGAGTAAGAAAGTAATTATGTTTAAAGGGGTGTGTGTATATGTCGATCAGGCTTAGCCGTGCCAAATTTATCCAGCTATCAGGGTTCCAAAAAACTGTCCGTGTGTGCCCTCCTACATTAGGGTGTGCTGTGGCCATGCTAATCCCCATTTTTTGTTTTATTTCAAATCACACACAGATAGAATCTGCAAACTGCTTCAGATCAAACAGGTCTGATTGTGTGTAAATACATATGTCCTTTTTAATTTTTATTATTAATGGTTGCTTCAGTTCTGCATCAATGCATGGTTAAAAGCAATACACATCAGCTATTTCATGACTTCATATCTCCAAATGAATTATTTCTCCTCTTTTTTTGTTTGTTTGTTTGTGCAGTCAGCTGAAGAAATGTTAACATCTCACTCTAAATCTCTCAGTGGAGTCTCTGTTCCCTTCTCTGATATAACAGATGGGTTACTGCTTGTTATAATTATTAACATTGTGGTGTGGGCCAGGGCTAGGGTGGGCAAGATTTACTATTTCTTTGGGCTGGGGAGGGGCCAGTCGTTAGGGTATGGAATGTTAACTCAAGTGGTGACTGACTGTTTCCGTAATACCAGGTCGTTGTGGCTGCACGCTCTAGTAATTGAGGCTGTGTACTTCACCGAGCTTGTGGTAGAGCCTAGGGCAAACCGCTGTCCCAAGAGAATGCTGGGATAGATAGAGTTAGCCAATACAGTCTGAACGTGGTGATTTTGCTGGTTGTTTTAGCTCCAGATGTCGGCATGCTTAGTTTTTAATGTGATTAATAAATGTGGCGCCATCTCCCCTTCCCACGCCTGGACCCTGTCTCTCCCACCCTTCCCCACCCGTGTTCTCTTTGAAAAACTTAAGAAACAATAATGAAAACCTTGGTGTTTCAAACTGCACTTTGTTCTCATGTTGTATAAGACTTCAGATTTGCTTTCAGAATGAAAATTGAGAAAACAGTTTCTCAGCCTGGAATCTTATTCACTCCAAAATCTGGAACAGAAATAAATGTATCTGAATTTTCTTTGTTTTATATTATGTGATATGTTTTGTTGAAAACAGCAGCAGAAATACTTTGAAGTAAGACTGCATCTAAGAGGAGTAAATCCATGATGTACAATTTAATTTTTCTGATTTGGGGGGTGGTCCTCAATGAATTACCGGGTTAGTTTATTAGGATATGACCTGCCCGTCCTCCACCCAGACCCCTACAAAGGGCCTCTCTGTAGCATCATTATCGTAAAGTAATTAGGAGAGTAGTCATGTTGGAATATTATCGGCTTTAAAAAAATGAATGTCGTTTTCCTGAATGCTGATGCTCTTCTTGATCCTTTTGTTCTCAATAAAGTATTTGCATCGCTGTCCTATCTTCCTGAATTTAAACAGCAGAGAGCCTCAACAGAGTCCAACTCCAAAGTCAGAGTTTACTTGTAACAGGAGGAAAGTGCTGCAGGCGCATTCTCTCCATTTCCTTCTGCCTTGGAGGGAAGCTTCGTTCCCAGTCTGATCGCTTTTTTAATTGTTTTGATTAACAATAACATTACCCCAAACCATTGAGGTTTCGATGGCTTCTTGCAGGCTGAGGAAAGCGAGGGGAACTCCTTCTCTCAGTAACCTCATTCAGAGCCTCTTTGTGCAGCGCCGCTCATAGCTGAGGTTTGATACAATCCCCTTATCTCTGACTCACTGAGAGTCTGTCAGCGCTTCTGAGCCTCAGGACCCCTTAATGAGAATGTATACCTCTGCCCTAAGGGGCAGAACTTCAGTTTTTAACTGTTTTGCTCAGGTAAACATAAATTGGGCTTTCCTTGCCTTTATTACCTTGACTTCTGAAATTTTTGAAGATTATTTTTGCTGTTTGAAGGAATGCTAAAGAGACAAACCATGTAACGCTTGTTTACCACATTATCGTTGTTTACAAAGAAGGTTTACTAACAGTAACCCTGCTGGAGACATCACACTAGCAAACTTTAATTCTAAACTAATGGAATCGGCTCTGGTTATAATGAAAAGCTGAGCCTTTAAGGTTCATTTAAAGCTTAAAATTTCAACTACAATGATTAGCCTGTTGCTTTGTTTAACAAATGCTTTTACTGCTTCATTTCCTCTTTAGAAGTTTACAAAAAGAAATGGCACTTTAGTCAGTTCAACATGCGTCCGTGCATGTGTTTGTGGAGAGCAGTGTTTGTGTTGCAGCCTGCCCAAAGGGTGTCCAGCTTTGCCCAGGTCAGCTGGCCGGCCCCCCGTGGACCTGGCTGGAATTCACAGGAAACATGTTGATCACAAATAGCCCCTGAGGATGCCTCCTGCCGCGTCCCTATCCGTTACCATTTCGTTGCCAGTGTTGTAATAGTAATTAGAATTTCTTATTTATATGAAAATCTGTAGAAGAATTTGTAATTGAGAAAGAAATGTTTACTTTTCTGAGTCGTTCACTTGAAGAACAGAGAGGGAATAATACATAACCACTGAAAACCAGTCAGGGATTTTTTTAAATGTACATTTGAAGCCATTTCTGATGACTTCGAGCAGCATAAATTTTAACAAGCAAATTTCCTCCACATGCAGTTTCTTTAGTTAGAGAAAGCATATGATATAGGAAAGAAGCAAAAAGCTTTAGAAGCCTCTAAGAGATTACAGCTATTTCCAAAATAAGATCCGAACAGAAATGAAAGCAACGAGCTAGAGGCCGCGCTGTCGGATGGCTAAGAAAAGCATGGGTCCCATTAGAAAATGCCTGTTTTCAATCCTGAGAAATAATACAGAAGTAAATTTAGGATTTCTTTTGCAGATTTAGCCAAAATTGAACATTTGAAGGATTCGAAAGCAGAAAGCTTTAGATATCTGTAAGAAGTGGACGGACACTCAGATCCACAGAAACGGAACTCGCTCTTCCACTACTGAAATGGTGTCAGGATGGACCAGTGGAACCTAATTACATTTGATGGGGAAAGGACAATAATAAAAATTCACACCTGAATTAGGTTTAGGTAAAATGAGTTCTGGAAGGGTAAAGAAAATGTAGGGCTTGCCACTTTGCAAATAGCCTGCTCACATGGCGTTTGTTGTGATGTCTCTGAAATCTTGATGAAGGCCTACGATGCTTCGCCCTGACAGTGGGACCCTTTTGAGTGTTTGGTTCATCTGAACTGAGGTGAAATAGCAGGATGTGGGAGTTTGAAACTCGAGGACTGAGAGGGTATTTGAACCACTGGAAGCAAAGCTCTGGAACTGCTTTGAGATGAGGGTGTAGGAATCTCAGAATCTTTTACGGAAGGAAGACGAATGCAGCTAACCGCGTGGGGGAGAGGGGTCCCTACTCTATTTGAATCCAGCCAGAGGATCCTCAGCCTGATTTGCCCGAGTCTAAAATACAGATTCAAGTTGGCAAACTTTTTCCGTAAAGGGCCAAGGGATAAATATTTTCAGCTTTGTGGGCCATACGCACTTTGTCACAACTACTTTTAAAAACTGGTGGGAGCTGCGTTGACTTACAGACTGCAGTCTGCCAACCGCTGGTCTGCACTGGTTTTTCTTTCTCAATATTACCTGATTATTTTAGCCTCCAGGCAAAAGTGCTGGGCCGGGGGAGCGGAGCACTGTGTGGGACCTTTCTGTTAGGCGCTGTAGTCTCTCGGTAGTAAATCGATCTGAGCACACGTCAGAGGATCTGAAGTTAACACCTGTAAATTCACTGTTTTAATTCTGTACATTTCCTTGTCAGTCAAAGTTCTCCAAACTTCCTGTAAATATTTTCCCTGTTGAAAGGTCCAACAGACTGTGATACAGTAAGATCCAAAATCATATCTTCATTTCTTAAATTTGAGAACAGGTCCCCCGTATATAGTTTATTTTTGTTACTATCACAAATTGGAAAGCAAATCCCTGCACTGGGTGGAGCTCAGCTTTGTACCAGAGGAATAACATGGAGACCGATGCAGTTTGAAACATTCTCTTCCCGTGTGCGTGTCCGTGTTCGTGTCTGTCCCCGTGTCTGCGTCTGTCTGCGTGTGGGTGGGTGTGTTCATCTGTGCATCCAGGGGAGAGGTGTCTGTAAAGTCAGTTCTCTTCTCTCCTGTAGGGTGGATATGCAGCCTACAGATATGCACAGCCTGCCACTGCGACCGCGGCCACAGCTGCTGCAGCCGCTGCAGCCGCTTACAGCGACGGGTATGTACCAAGAGGGACAGGGAGCACGGCACCACGCCCAGGCGGCCCCCTCTCCTCCCTGCTCCATTTCCACGGCACCGAGCACACGGGGCTGCCTAGCCTGGCTCCTTCTGGACTCCGTCACGCCAGAAGCGCAGTGGCACTGACTCCTCCGCTCCCTGTCTCTGGTTCTTGTCTCTTGTTGGCTTTGGCCCCCATCTCCCGCTTGCTCATCTCCAGCTCCCTTCTTTTCCATTTTGTAGAAGTACTTCAGAATTTCTCAGAGTTGCTGCATTTAGGACTAGAAATAGAAAGATTTTTTCCATTCTGCCAGTTTCCTAATAACATTCCAAGAGCAAGTTGCTCACAAGTCCTTAGCACAGGAAACCCTTTGATTTTTTTGGATCACTGTCATTCCTGTATCTCCCTGATTGTATTTCTTCTTTCCAGTTATGGCAGGGTGTACACAGCCGACCCCTACCATGCCCTTGCCCCTGCCGCTAGCTATGGAGTTGGCGCTGTGGTAAGTATATGGACCTTTTTTTAGAAGACATTTTGCTCCTTCTAACTTAAACCTAGAGACTACAAAAGATCTAGGGAATAAATTCAGCCCTTCTTCCATTGCCAAAGTATTAAAACCACATAGGACTGACTATCTGGAAATTTCATGTCACCTTCATCTGTGTGTTATAGTGTGACTACATGGCCTCATTAAGGACAGCAGAAAGGAATGAATAGTGACAGCCTGCTCTGAGTAACAGCATTGTTTGAGAGAGAGAAGGGAACAGGTTGTTGTTTTATATTGACTCAAATATTGGGTGTGTACCTGTGTCACACTTTTATTGATGGGGGTCACCAAGACCTCAGGGGCAGAAGACTGTCCAGTTCTCACAGTAAGCTTTTCAGAAAACTTAATGTGTGTAAGTTGCAAATGCAAAGACATTTTATTAGTAACATTTGTGGCAAAATGTGGTATTTTCATAAAAGTGTAGAAGTCCTCAGAGCTTGTCTAGAATAATCCTTCCTACTCAAACTCAAATCCCACTGCAGTATTTCTGTGTGGGCCCAGACGGCTCCAGGTCTAGTGATCGGGACACACCGGCTGCAGCAAAGACAGGCCGTTCCACAGCGCCACGTCCTAATGCCAGACATCTCTGCAGTCCAGAATGCACTGGGCCACTGCCTGGTGACATCGGCGAAGGTGTTGGAGAGGGAGGCAGAGTGATGAGCCAGATTAAGACTCAGAGGACTAGGAGAGAGCCCGTCGCTTCTCATCCCAAACCTCTGCCAAGGGAGGTTGGCGGGAGGAAGTGCCAGGGCCCCGGGGGAACGGATGTGTAGAACTGGCGTAGAGACGTGCAGTGTAAAGCAAGCAGTGGGCGTTCCTGAGATGTCATTTAGTGCCAGTGACATACATCCTGTATTTGAAGATTGACTCAAGGAGAGAGGTGTTCCTAGGGAATTTTTAGTTGGAGAAGGGAAGCCATTAGATAAAGATAAAACAGAAGTAAAGCCGAGTTAAACCCTGGTTATGTGTCTAATTCGGATATGTCAAGAAACACCGTAGTTGGTGTATTTTCTGCACTCTAGAGGAGGTAGATTTTATCAGTGGAGAGATTGACTCGGGTTTAAATCCAGCACTGTCTCAAACGTGGGATGTGATAGATGATGGTCAGAAGTCACATGTTCTCCGTCGACAGGTGATGAGGTAAGAAGGTAAAATCAGCAGTCTGCTTAGGTCAGAAAGGTGGAAAAGATCCGTGCTTTTAGAAATCAAATTAGTGTTGAATGGCCCTTCTGTGCTAATTCACGCTGGTAATGAGGCGGACCATTATCATACTCTCCATGAGATATCAGGTCGACAGTAAATGTTTTGGGCTCGGGTTTGAGCATCTCAGAGACAGAAGTTGGCTTCCTGACTTCACTGCACCAGGCAGCATCTGTCAGTTGCTTTGAAGCTTCTAAGGAAGCTATTTTTCTAAACCCCTTCTCAGGACATTTTTCTTCATTTTTAATGCTTCTCTTACTCATCAACCTTTTTATGATTTTTGTGTCTTTAATTACTGCAGGCGAGTTTATACCGAGGTGGCTACAGCCGATTTGCCCCCTACTGAAGTGACGTGAGACCCTGCAAATGGGACAGCCCCCCAGTTCATGAGGCCTGGCTATTGCAATATTTACTAGTAGAGGAACTCTATAGCAAGATGAAGAGGAAAAACAAACAAACAAAAAAAACACAAAAAAAGAGAGTACTTTTTTATACCTCACTATGTTCTTTGAATATGTATTTTTCCTTTAAATTTCTGCCTTTAATTCTTTTGTTCCAAAGATTGTGCATTTTTTTCTTTTTTTTTTCTTTTTTTTAACTGTGGTAAAAAAAAAAAAATAATGCATTTCCATGTCTGTATGTCCGTGCTTAGCTTATTCTGTCAGTCACGGAAGAGGTGGTTACTGAGGAAGAAGAGAGATTAGGAGCCGATAAATGCATCTGATCAGAAATCAGCAGACAGAATACCCAAAGTCTGTCTAGTGCTGAATGGCTGGGGGACAAGCAGAAGTGCAAGAGATCTTTCTGCAACAGGACGTTCTTCTAGTCTCCTGAGTTTCTGGTCTGTGGCAGGCAGTTCTGCTTGGCTGTGGCTGGAATCCACATGCTGATAGATGATAGGAATTTGTGCTTGCACAGCAGGAGGATTAAAAAGACACTTTTCCTCTTCTCTGCCCTCCTGTCTTCTCCATTCTTTTTACAATCATCTTACATGCACAGCCTGAGACAGTTGGCATAGTTTTTGGAATTATAGTATTAATATTTCCAAACGTGCTCTCAGACTGTGGGTGATAAACACCTCATTAGGAAACCAATCTCAGAATGAACTCTGGAGTATGCAAAAGATCATTCCTTTCTTTCCTGTAATCCTGGCATTCCTGCTGGGCTTCTTCCCCTTTGATTGAACAGCAGCATAGCTCATCTATCCTTTTATTAACACCCTGTCCCCATGTCCTTAAGATTCAGGAATTTAGGACCCAGGGACAAAGGAATAAATTGCCAGCAGCCAGATTTCCCCCAGGTGTTTGGGCATAGCTTGAGGATTAGAAGAGCCAATAGAAGAGAGCAAGGAAGAGAAAAGGGATATTAGATGATGTCGGGCAAGGCACTCTGATATTCCTTATCTTTCTCTTGCATCAAAAGTCAGTACAAAGTATAAAACATATACTAAAGACTCTGTTGACAAAAGATGAAGCGCCGAGTCCTAGATCAGCTGTCCCTGGAAGTTCTGGTGATGAGGGCATGAGAGGTGAGGCTAAGGCACTTTGTACTAGCTCCAAAGCCATAGGAATCTTCATCCTCCAGAGCCTTTAGAAATCACTTGTCTGTCCACAGTCTTGAGCCCTCATGGCCATTCCACCCAGCTTCTCATTCTTCTCCAAAGACACCCAGCTGAGCACCTCGACCGCTTGGTATACATGAACACTACAGGACGTGAAACACAGCCCCTGAGGTTGCTCCCCTCCTCTATTGGAAGGAGGGTCTGACATGGCGAGGATCTTACATGTTGCCAGAAAGAAGAGTCACATGGTGGCCACAGCAGTGAGTCCCTGCTACTGCTCCCTGGCTTCAATTTCATGTATATTACTGCGCTAGGGGAGAAAGTGTTTCTCTTCTAGCCATTAGCTATTAATGATAAGGGCAAGGGTCCTGCAGCATTTCCAAAATGAAGGCATTAGGAAATAGAGAAGCACGGTCTGTTTGGCTCCCTGGTCTATTCACATTGGTACTGGGTGACCTTTCACCCAAGGATAGCTGCTAAAGGGAGTAATTCAGAGACATGGAGCTTCTGGTTGGTTATGGGTTTGTTTTTGCTTTGTTTTTTTTACTCCTGCCTCCACACATGTTCTTGACTGATAACTGATTCATGTCCCTGAATTAAAATGACTGACATATGACAGCATCAAGCTTTCTTTGTAAGCAGACTGATATATCGGGGAGGGACTGGCCTGTCTTCTCCCCCTTCAGAATGCTCTGTCTCCTAATAGCTGGGAGAGAGGCTGTCCTTGAAGCTAGGTGAGACATCAAGAAAGCTGGAGGCCTCGATGCAATTCTTACTGATTCTGGGAAGCAGTACGTAGAATAGGGGACACCAGACTGCCCGGTCCACTGGCCATTTTTTAAGGGTTCCCCTCCCCAAGCCAAAGTTTGGTTTGTTGCTGTTAAGACAATTTTTGTTGTATGTATATAAATATTTTAGTTAGAGGAACGGGGAGTGGGCTGTGGCACTTTCGCAGTTCTAGGGAATGGGGGCAAGGAGGGTATTTTTCTTTCTTTTGCTTTTGTTTGGAGGGAGAGCTTTTGCTGACTAAAGAAACAGAAATTTCATGTCATGTTTAAATAGAGGCCATTCTCACAAAACGACAAGCCACCACTCAGTGGTGACAAGGCCAAATTCTAAATGGTTGTATTCATAGCAGGGGAAGAGAATAGGGCAATGAGTTTAAGAATTTTCTCTTCTTTTTTCCAGAAAGAGATAAGGATGATGGGAAAGGAGAGAAGGCAGTTCCCACAGCCCTTTTCAAAGAGGCCGGAGCATGAGCTCGAGGTCGCTCTTGTGCGTTTCAGTTCAGCTGGCTCTGGCTGAGGCCTCCACGGGCAAGCTGTGCTTCCAGTGGGCTCGGCTGCATTTCCAGGGATGGTTCTAATCACACTGCTTCCTCTAGCGCCCCTTTCTGAGAAAGACAAAGTAGAGTTCTGCTTTTGTTAAAGGGCCTTTGGTTCTTGGTGTCATCACTATCGGGCTCCCCATCAGCTCTTGAGCTTTGAGACTCCAGGCAGTCATCTTCATCAGAGGCAGGTGTCTCCAAGCATCCGTGCTTCTATATTCCTGACTTTAGTTCCCCTTGGACTAAACAGAGGCAGAAGAGAGTTTGGCACCTTGTGAGTTCGATAGAGGATGCTGGTTGATAATTCCAGAAAACTTAGTAATGCTGAATCGCAGTGCGTGGATGACTCGAGACAGCTTTGCAGCGTAGCGTGACACGGACTTTCTGTAGTAAGCGTCTTACTCTTAGAAGCTGGGCTCCTTTAAGGAGACCTCTAGTGAACACTTTTATCTAAATACCCCTCATTCGGCCCAGAGATCTGCCCATAGGTCTTTTCCAGAACTCCCTGTGTTACATAGTTCAGCTTCTGTTAACCCAGATCAGCCATTGTGATTCATCGTTTTTAAGGCTCAGGTTTTACAAAACCTACTGTCACCATCATCCTCCAACAGCCACAATCGGAATTGAGCCAATTTTATTTCCTTGAAAAAGAAGGGGACTGGGGCTCCGCTCTCAGTTTAAGGGGGCTGGTGGAGAGCTGCCCGATAGAAATCGAGGACAGCGGCTTCTCCTCCCAGTGTGACTCCTCAGGGGCCGATGTGCTCTCAGTTTAGATCATACTTTCCTAAAGAGAGCAAAGTCGGTGAATCCCCGCCACCCTGTAACTAGTCACGCAGCTTCCACACGAGGGCGTTGTCAGCTCGGGATGGAAGCAGACCCAAGGAGCTACACGAAGGGCCCGCTGACCCCCTTCCCTCTGGCAGGAGAGCAAGGCGAGCAAGGGGCAGTCCGGAAGGCTCTCAGACCCGGGAGGAGGCGCGGGGGAGCTGACTGAGCCCTCCCCTTTCGCCAAGTCCAGCGCTGCTCTGCTGCTTGCCGCCCTCTAGCAGAGGGACATTTGCAGAATTGCAGGTTCTATTCCCCCAGATAATAGGAGGAAAGGGACTTCGGGGGGTGGGGAAGGGGTAGTGGTGTTTTAAAAGCATAAGTCACCTGTTTGCACTGTTTTAAGATAGGAGAAAAATAGTGGGCAAGGTGAGCATCAATGTAAATTTGTGTGTTTTTATTTTGTCATGCTCTTGAAACTGTTGACCATGTGTAGTATACACCAGTGAAACTTGATTCTCTGTTGCATAAAACACTATCTTTTGGAAATGTTACTGTCCAGAAGCCTCCTCCCTCCCTTTCCCTTCTCCTCTCTACTTCCTTCATCCTTGCTTTACTGATCGGCCAGGCCATAACCATCCGCGAGCTGGACCCTTTCCAGGTGGGCTCTGGTCCTAAGCCAGTGTGCACCCTCTGGGTTAGTGAGTGCAGGAGAGTCCCCGGCACCTGTCTTTCCAGTCAGGCTTACAGACCAGACTGCAGCGATTAGCAGGTTCCTCCAGCAGATGCACTAGGGCCGAGGAGCCGAGGGCGGCGGGACTCCTCGAGCATTGCCTTCGGCTGTGGCAGCTGAGTTCTCATGCACGTTACCGGAACTGTAGCCAGCTACAGTTTACTCAGGAAAACGGTCGATCACTTCAGCCATGGTAGTGCTGGTTGGCAGGGCTTGGTAACTGAGAGAACTGCTCGTCAGCCGAAACTCCAACCTTGCCTTCAAGGAGGCTGCCAGCGAGGGATTCGGCCCCTCCGTCTGGTTGTCACGTATGTGCCGGTGTCGTGAGGGCCCAGCTCACACTGGCAAGGGATCACGGATTCTCTTTTCCTCCCACCCTGCCCCTGTTACCAACACCAGATTCCCAGGGGGTACGTGAGTTTTTGAATTTTTGAAAAATGTTTTTTGGTTTGGCTTTTCTGGGGACTGATAAGTGCTTTAAGCAATGTCTGCACCCCATCAAGACTCCCAGCTTAGTCATTCTCCTCTATTTTTCTGTTCACAGTATTTTGGTGTGTGTGTGCTCGTTTTGGCAGCTCATTTTGGCTGTATTATATATCGAGTGATGAATTGATCCTCTTTTTCTCCCTACGGGATATGAATTGTTTTTTTCTTGTGTTATAATTCTGCTTGTGACTAGCTGGAGCAAACCTGGGGCTGGCACACGTAAGCTAGGGCTGCAAAGGGCTAAGAGAACCAGTGGGGTTTACTTGTCCCTAACAGGCCGACCTACCTGAATCTCTGAGCTTTTCAGTCCAAATCTTTGCAAGGCTAAAAACGCCACAGAACCTCCTCTGCTCCCCACTCCCCGTGGCAGGGACTAAACCATCCCTACATGCAACGTGCGGTCTCTCCGGCCCCTCCCATTGCCGTGGCAAACAGGTACCTTTGGGGCGTGGGGGCCTCACATGGGATGCTTGTATAATTGACCACCTCGCCTTTCCTACCCCCTCCCCTCCTCCCCAGAATCGCTTCCTAGGACCCCCGAGCTGCTTGCCCAGGGTCCTGTTTCCCTGCAGACTCCAGAGAAGCACCCAGGGCTTTGTGACAGTCTCTCCTGCCCTCCCCTCCTCGTTAAGAATCATATTGTATAGTAGCTTTCAGACCATACAGTATTCATTGGGTTACTCCTCTTATTATCAAGTAGCTGGAATTGTGAAGGTCGGAGTAGTTAGATCTTTAGCTTTTATTCCTTATTTTTTGTATTACTATCCATGTGTATAAATTATTGATCATGTTGCTGGCTTTTATAAACTCTAAGCGAAGGAGGAGCTCTGCCTCTGCCTTTGCGAATGGTAATGAAGCACTGTTTTTAAATAAAAGAGAGAAACACCATTCTCTGGCCTGTGTGTGTTGATCCTCCATCCCTGTTGCCCCTTCCTGACACGCAAAACTTGGATTTGACTTCTTAAGATGGGAAGAAGGCAGGCAGACCGCAATGCTTCCTGAACGGAAGGCCCTCCGTCCCGTGGGCAGCCGGGAGGCGGTGAGGCCGGGCCGGGACCGGGTGAGCCGCTCTGCGCTTCCTCCGGCTCGGGAGCTCCGCGCTGTGCAGAAGGTGTCTTTTGTGCTTCTGACCTGAAACCTCCTCTCAGCTTCACTTCACCTTTCGTCCTCTCCACTTCCCACTTACTGCTACTCTCCCCGTGCCTCGGAAGCTGCCCCTCACCCCCACCGGCCCAGGCCACCCACTCGACCTTCCTGAAGCGTCGGCCCCTCCGTCTCGCTGCGTCCACCCCTGCTTTCCCCGGGCTCCTGCGCTTTTTCCTTCCAAGTGGGGAATGTTCTTCAAAGGCTGCTGCGTGGTCCTTTGCTTTCTTGCCTGTGCTTCTCAACCCTCCCTCCTATGTTGGTTTCTCTGCCAGTAATTCCCAAATCTCTGAAATTCCTCATGAATCTCCAAGTCCCTTAACTTGGCTCTCAGGTCACCTAGCTTCCTGTTTCTTGGCGAAGATGAAGGCCACCACACGGGATCTCCCTGCATGAGCTCTTGCTACCAGAGCTGGGCAGCTCATTGACTTCCCACCGTCCCTTCCCTTTCTCTCCTGTCCTCCCGGAAGAGGCGTTTCTCATATACAAGCTGACCCCTGGCTGTGCTCTGCATCTAGTCCCTTTCCTGCTTTCTCAGGGACCTGGCTTTGTTGTCCCCTCCTGCATGGTTAACCTTTTCCTCTCTGCTAGTCCCTGTGGGATTTAAACGTGCTCCAACCTTTTAACACATTAAAAAAAAAAAATTTTCAAGATGCCAAGTCCTCTCCTTCATGACAAACTTCTGGAGTAGGTTCCTGCCCGCTGACTCCAATTACCTGCTCCTCACACTGCTGTCTTCGCTCCTCCCTCTAGGACCCTAAAGCAGCCCTCTCGTGATGACAGCAAATGGACCTGTCCCGGTGCCCTTGGCCTCTATAGTGTAGCATTGCCAAGTATTCCCAAGACCCTTCCACTTGCATGTCAGGCTGTGACAGGCCAGGGGCCTGAGTTCCTCCACTACTGCCCCCTAATAGAAGCAAATGGCTGGCCTCGTCTCCTTAAGTAGTCTCTCTGCCTCCATCTTTTCCCCAGCAACACCCTGCCACCGAGTCTGTTCTCTGCAGCCGCCTGTTAGAATGTGAATTGGATCGTGATGTGTTTCTGCCCAAAACATCCCCTGGTCAGTTTCAAGTCCTCGTCCCCGTCTGTAAGGCCCTGGGTAATGTGCTCCCCTCCCAGGTTGTTCGTGGTCTGTGTCCTGTACTAGGCTCTAAGCACCTGGAGGTCAGCAGCTGTGTCCTGTTCACTGCTGTATCTGCAATGCCTGGCACATAGTAAGCATTCAATAAATATTTGTTGAATACTTTACTTTCTTACGTAAAGTGACACAGTTTCCGCCCTGCCTTCCTCCGTCTTAACCACCCCTAGAAATAATAGTGGATGCTTCCAGAGTGCTGTCAGAGCCCTTCACACACAGCCATTCAGTCTTCCCTGCGGCCCTCAGGCAGGTGCTTGGGCGGCACCCCTCCCCAGGCCCTTCTGGCTCCTATGCTGCTCACTGGGTGGCCATGTGAGCAAAGTCCTGACTGCTCTCTCTCGAGGCCATTCCTGGGGTGGCAGTGCAGCTGGTAACCCTGAGGAAGGCAGTGGTGTGTCCCTCCAGGATAAAGAACAGGCTGGCTCATTGCCTGCTGAGAAAGAGGTGGCTCCTCAGTGTTCCTCAGCTGCACTGCAGACCTACTGCGTGTACAGCATCCGTCTGGGCCCATGTCACCTCCCCCCACCCCATGGGCTTGGGCACCAGGAGAATCGTTCCATATGCCAGTGCTTATGCTGCCTGCTGTGCCATGAGGAGTAACGTCCTTTGTCTCCGGCTCAGCCTTGTGTCTTCTGCCAGAATCCATGAAACAGAACAGGCTAACTTAGCTTCTAAGGAGGGAGAACTCAAAGTCCGGACCCAACCGTGTTGTTACTCCGTATTAGAGATGAGGAGGCTGAAGCGTGGAGAGAGGGAGTAACTTGCCAGAGTCACAGACATAGACGTGGCAGAACAGGATCCAGAGGCAGTCTGGCTCCCAAGTCTGCACCCTTGGGCTTCTGAACTTGAGTGTTTCTAGTGCTTCTCTTGTAGAAGCTCCTGCAGAAATCTGCGAGCTGGATGGCTGGACAGATAGACGGACAGGTTGAAGGCTACCTAGGTGCGATATAGTGATTTATAACAAATACATGTGTTTGGTCATTCAGGTGACCAAAATATATTTCTTATCTATATATGGTCTTCACTTACAGTTGCTGACTCAGCTCCCAAAACCCTTGAAATTTCCTGAGCAATAAGAACAAGGAGCATCCTTTGTTATAACATTTGGTGTCTTGGCCTCAGTTCCTGGAAACGCTTCAGAGCCATAGAGGTGGGATGGGTGTCTCGTTATTCACAAGCAGCCCCTTTCCACCACGACTGGGTTTATGTTAATGAGGTGACTTTTGGAGATCACCCCAGGATGGGGGCTGGTTGCCAGGGGAACCAGCCCTGAAGAGAGGGGTGGAAGTTTCAGTCCCACGCCCTGATTGCTGGGGAGGGGAGAGGGGTTAGAGGTTGGCTCTGTCACCAGTGGCCGATGATTCGATCGGTCGCGCCTATGGAATGAGGCCTCCGTAAAAGCCCAAAGGGAGGGGTTTGGAGAGCTCCCAGGTCGGGACCAGAATGCTGCCACGTGCCGCTGTGCGGGCCCCGGACCCACGAGGCCAGGAGCTCCTTTGTCCGCGGCCTCGCCCTCTGTACCTCCTCATCTGGCTCTTGATTTGTATCCTTTAATGGCCTCTGTAATAAATCGGCAATCTAGGGAGTAAACGGGTTTCCTGAGTTCTGGGAGCTGTTCTGGTGAAAACTGAATCCGAGGAGGGGGTTATGGGAACCTCTGCTTCACAGCCAGTTGGTCAGAGGCACAGGTGACAACCTGGGCTTGGTGTTGACGTCTGAGGGCAGCCTTTTGGGACTAAACCCTTAACCTGTGGCATCTGCTGCTGTCTCTGGGTAGGTAGTGTCAGAGCTGAGGTGAATTCTCGACACCCCGCTGGTGTCTGAGCATTGCTTGTTGGCATGGGGAAGCGCATGCGCACACGCACACGTTAGAATTGGGTCCAGGAGCCGCAAAGACTAGGCTGCCTTGATTTTCAGCCATTGCTAACACCCCGCCATGGCTTCATTCTGTAGTGAGGAGACTATTCATCCCAGTGATTTAAGAAGCCAAATTAAGACCAGCAGGCCAGGAGTTGGTCCTCTTTTAAAAAAATTCTTTAATTTTGATGTAAATATTTATTAGCTATTCTTTCCATTTCATAAAACAATAAGTCACATAATAAAAAACTTGAAAAATACAGAATGGTAAAAGGAAGAAGAGGAAAGTAACCAAAATGACCTGTAAATAAAGAGCTGCCATGTGACCCTGCTGTATTCCCTCGTAGGCCTTTGTCTGCACACAGGTGACAAAGGTGTGATGCCCCCGGCAGGCAAAAGGCGAGAAAGTGCATATTCAATTTTCCCTTTTTTTCCTCCTCATTTGGTAAAATAAACATTTTCCCTGCTAACCAAGTTGTTGACTCTCGTGAACATCATTTTGATAGTGACATAATGTTCTCTCAAGTGGATGAATAGTTGCTATTTAACCAGTCTCCTGGTGTTGGAACATTTTAATGGTGTCCAATTTTTCACAATTATAGATTCTGCAATAAAGGGATAACTTTCTCTCAGTAACAGCTTTTCTCAAATCACTGCCTTTCTCCTTGCAGGGCACTGGGAATGCAGATCAGATCTAAGCTTGAGCGATAGACCCCATGACAAAGATGCTGTGCACGGTGACTGTAATGAGAGATGGGTGGGGGGCAGCGCAAGGAGTGGAGGAGTCACAGGGCACGGTTTATTTTAAATAAAGATTTTTTTTCATTTTAATTATAAATGGACTGTGTGGTTATCTACAGTTTGGAAAATGCACGTGTTCTAAATGTGTGCTGACCTCAGTTTAAATTAACGTAGATATGTAAGTCGTCTTGGTCTCCAGCCCCATCAGTACACACAGAAAATCTGGTCTCTTACAAATTCCCAGGTATTTCTGGAGTCCCAAAGGGTTGTCACCAATCACTGCAGGTCTCCCTTCTGTCATCATTGCTGGGTGCCTCGTGGCGAGCGAAGATTTTCCTACCCCGAGTTTTCTTAGCTGAAGACTTGTGTTTTGCGTCTGGTAAACCAAGGTTCCGTGGGTACAGCTTGACCGTCTAGGGCAAAAAGGAAAAGGCAGTCGTTTACTCACTTCTGTCGCATAAGTGTGATCTCACAGAAGGGTCTCCTGAGTGCTCAGATGCCACAGGGCTGGGCGAGGCAGTTCTCTCCCTTGACACACCCAGTCCTTGTCCGTCTCATTTGCACCTGGGCCTGGCCTGATGCCCCTCACGGAGGTGCTCAATTAGTATTGGTGCGTTGAATGACTTAGCAAATGGCTCCTCTGGCTGGAATGCACAGAGATGGTGTGCAGAGGGGGCTCCGGGGGCAAGGCAGAGGCACAGCCTGGGAATGCATGTGGCTCGCAGCATGGAGCAGAATCGTGGCCCCAGCCCCTCACCACCAGGTGCTCCCTTCGCTCTCCCCACAGCCCACCCCACCAGGAGTAAGTGCACTGCCAGGGGCTCCCGCAGCACCCTGTCCTCGCTAATGTCCTTCCATTTACCTCTCCTCCTTGTTAATGGCTTATCTGGGGTCTGTCCCCCTGATAGGCCCCAAGTCCCATTAAAGCAGAGACTCTTTTCCCACAATGTCCTCAGTGCCCTGCTGGGACCTGGCCTAAGCTTGTGCTCCATGACAGGCAAGGGAGGAGGTGGGCAAGACCCTGTAGAATAGGCATCCTAGTGTCTCAGAGTGCACCCCCCAAATCTGCCCCTGGTCATTAAGAAGCTAGACTATACCCAGAGGGGAGCAGTACTGATGCTGGAGAGTAAGAGAAAGCACCTCAGGCCGTAGAGTAGTGGTCCCCAGGCTCCGCTGCTCAGCAGAATTACTTGGAGATCCTTTGCAACTGGAGTCCAGGTCATACCCCAGGTCAATCACATCACTGGGGTAGGACCCACCCACTCATCAGTCCTTTTTGAAGCTTCCTAGGTGATGCCAACATGCAGACAAATTTGGGAACACTTCCTTAAATCCTTGGCCCTGTCACAGGCCTCAATTAAAATCTGTCGAATGAATGAATGAATGATGAACCTTCACACCTTCAGCAAAAGCTTTTGTGTCCCTTTCTAGCGTGTCAGGCAGTGGCCTTGCTACCCCATCCCATTCTCTTCTCTCTGTAAAATTTTTTTTTTTTTTTTAGATTTTTATTATTTCCTTTTTCTCCCCCAAAGCCCCCCGGTACATAGTTGTATATTCTTCGTTGTGGGTCCTTCTAGTTGTGGCATGTGGGACGCTGCCTCAGCGTGGTCTGACGAGCAGTGCCATGTCCGCGCCCAGGATTCGAACCAACGAAACACTGGGCTGCCTGCAGCAGAGCGCACGAACTTAACCACTCGGCCACGGGGCCAGCCCCCTCTCTGTAAAATTAAAGAGGAGTTTTGAAATTCTTTATTTTCCTGATGGGAGTTTTTGTTTCAGTTTTTTCATCCAGATATTTAGTGTCTCAAGAGAGTCAAGAAATAGAAAGTATTTTCAGATAAATATCCTTTTTCAACTCATCTGAAACATCACCTTCATCATGAAATGCCACACTTATGCCATTCAACACCTATTTATGGCGCACCTACCACGTGCCACGCCCTGCTGGGGCTGAGGACACGTCCCCGCCCTCCCAGAGGGTACTCTACAGGAAGAAGGACAGGGAGCATCTGCATACAGATGAATGCGTGGTCAACACTTTGAGAGAAAAGAACGAGAGGCTGGAAAGAACAGGAGGGACCTAATTCAGGTGGGGGCTGGGGAAAGTCCTCTCTGAAGAAAGGACATCGTGATTATCTATTTATATGTCCACTCTATAGCATCCCCGCCCTGCCATGGGAAGCTCTAGGAGGACCATGACCACACTGTCTTACGCCCACCCCCTTCCTACCTTCTGGTTCAGTGACGGCTCCTCGGAGCCCCGCCTCAGGATCATCAGCTCGTAGCGCCGGGTGAGCTGGCCCAGCCACTGCTCCAGCTCCTTGGCCCACGGTCTCAGCTGCTCCGCCATCTCCGCCCTCGCCCCCGCCTCCAGGTGCCTCCAGTTCTGCAGGAGGCTGTTCACCTCTTGCATAAGAAAGAAGCCAGCCCCAGCAACAGCCATCAGCCGGGCACCCCTGGTCATGGCCAGAGCTGGGCCCTCAACGGCTCTCTTCACCCCTCTGGCCCTCCAGAAGGGGACACAGCCTGTGGCTGCGAAATTCTTGACCGTAGCCATGCCATGAAACCAGAGTTGGCTTTGGCTTTGGCCGTCCCGTAGGCCTGAAGTTCCCTGATGTTGATAACTCCAGCAGATTGCTTAATAGGCAAGTCCACAGCTCTGACTTCGGACAGGTTTATTCCTCCCAAAGCTTCATTCTCCCCTGTCGCTGGAAGAGACACCAGTCTCCTGGCTCTGTCTCGAGCTGCCGAATTGCTTCTATTTTCTAAGACACTTGTCAAAATGTTGGTCATGACAGCTGCTGCCCCAAGGCCGTGCCCAAGTGCTGAGAGCATCAGACTCCCTCCTACTGTCACAGGTGCCAGGGCCAAACCCAGGAGGCTCACGGCCGCAGAGACAGCACCTGAGGAGCTAGCCACCAGGGGGGGTCTTGGTGAGCATCTTGTGGGCTGCGTCAACCTGGTCTGCAATGGTGTTCAGTTCTTTGATAGTCTTTTCCAGCTTGTACTTCCACAAGGGAAAACATAAGAGAAACATTTTTTCCTCCTCTGATGGATTTCCATCTGGCACGGACACTTGTTCACATCGCATCAGCTCTTCAGACAGGAGCCTGTACAGCACATCGGCCTCATCCCTGGGGACAGTCCATATCACATGATTATTTTTCCAATTCTGGGACAGGTTCCCCAGCGAGGCTAGAACATTCTACAGTCTGCATTCTTGAACACATTTAGGGAGCAGGACTTTGGGAATCAAGGTACAATTGGGGAGCAGCGTGACAGAGGGTCCCTCTTTGTGGCCTGGACCCCAGGTGGCTGTGTGTTTATGGCAGAAGCACAGTTCCAGCAATCCCTGGGCTCATCAGGACCGGCTTACTAGCCTGCTCACCCGTGGACAACTCTCTTCTAACTGCATGTGGACACTGATGTGATGAATAAAACAAAACTTAAAAGCATTACAGACTTTTGTCACCAAATCTTTTCTTAATAAATATATGTATGCGTATAGAATATAATTTACACATATCCAACAGGTTGTGAGAATTCTGTTCAGGGAACACGAGTACTGAGATCCCGAAGAGGAGACGGCTGGTTTTCTTTTATGTTAAAAGGGGACCTACCTGGAAATGGTGGTTGCTTCTGGGAGGGGAGCTGGGGAAAAAGCTTTGAGGGAGGCTGACTTCTCACTGTTTGCCCATTTGTTCCTTTTAAGTTTTGTATCGTGTGCATATATTAGAGTTATCCCAAAAAATTCATAAAATAACCTACACTTCCAAAGAAAAAGGTGCGGGCACCTCCAGCCAGACACCCAAATATCATCTCTTCCACAGAGGATTTACTCCATGTGACAGCACTGTGTATTTTGGAAACCGAAACTTGATTTCTAACGAAAGGGTGGACACACGTGGAGACAGCGGGTTCTGCCCTGTTCACTTGTTAATGGGCAAGGAGGAGAAGCACGGAGTCATAAGAAAAGTGATGAAGAAGAAGAAGATGTACGACTGAGAAAAGTCTCTCCACGAACTCAAATGTTCCCTGTATTTTGGGGAAAAGACCACCATTATTCCGTATTTTGCGGAATCAGTTTGCTCCAGCTCCGGGAGCACCAGAGTCCGCAGGGCCCTGTGGGAGCATCACTGCTCTGAGTAAATCTGTCGTGTAGGATCTGGGGCTTCCAAGGTGGACACCAGTGGACGGTGCAGGACGCTGCCATCAACTTCCTGCAGCACGTAGCAGAGTCCGACTTGTCTAAGCCTTAAGTTTGTTCCTGTCTGTCTCCTAATTGAGCAACTACAACGCACTGGGCATGGGCTTGAGCCATACTGGAGGGTGGATCAACAGGAAAGAAGGCAGGACTCATGGGATCACTGTCCCGGAACCAAGCAGCCCCCAGGCCTCAAAGGAACTGTTGACAGTGGCTTTAGAGCCCTCTGCCCCCTGGGCAGGGCCATCAGCAGCCTCAGATCAGCCAGCTGACCCCTCCGCAGGGAAGTAGGAGGGGCCTTCTGACAGCCTTCCCCAGCATCAATTCACTCTTAACAAAGACTTGTCAGATGTCTCTGCGATGTCTCTGTACACCGAGGACTTCAACACCCCCAACCTAGATCTTAGAGCTCTAGGATGTTAGAAGCGGAAGGCCCACCCCCGCCGTCTGGTGCGTGGATGGCCGAGGCGTGGACTCCCCTGCCGATGTTGGCGGGAGTGTCTAGACCACTTGCCGTGCTGCCCCAAGGACACCCATACATAGAATGAGTTGTTTGTGGGGCCAGCCCTGTGGCCGCGTGGTTAAGTTCGCGTGCTCCACTCTGGCGGCCCGGGGTTCACTGGTTCAGATCCTGGGTGCAGACCTAGCACCGCTCATCAAGCCATGCTGAGGCGGCGTCCCACGTAGCAGAGCCAGAGGCACTCACAACTAGAATACACAACTATGTACTGGGGGGCTTTGGGGAGGAAAAAAAAAAAAGAGGAAGATTGGCAAGAGATGTTAGCTCAGGACCAATCTTCCTCATCAAAAAAAAAGAAGAATTGTTCTTGTCCTGATAGGGCAGGAAACTCTAGTTTGTGTGACTTATGAAGATTTTATAATGTAAGAGCTTTAGATAGCACTGCATCTCATTTTACAGAAGCTTATGGACACTGGACAAGAGAGTACAGCCTGTGTCAGGCGCTATGACTGTGTTAGGACTATAACGCTTCAGCCAGCTCTGTCGCAGAGTCTGGGCGCCCAGGCAGAGGTGTGGAAAGGTAAGTCCCAGGAGTCTGGGTCGCAAGGCAAGACCTAGGCATTTTCGTGGCTTGGGCAAGGGCGGAGAAAGGCTGGGAAGGAGTTCCTGGGTCGGGGGAAATGGAGCAAATTCTGCTTCTAGGATTCTATCATCCAACAAGCCACGTGTCCGGGCCCCTAGTCATGTGCTTACCAGAGGTTTTAAATTTACTTTCCTAAGAACTTTTGTCCTGAGGATGTGTAAATCCTTTTTTTCCCCTTTGTGCACGTCTCTAATGGCAAATGAAGGTAAATGAGACTGTGCTCAACACCTCCGCCAACTTTGTTGGAACACATTTGTGTGTTTCAAACTATGAAGATGGCGACCGCACAGCAGCAAAATTCGGATATTAACACTCAGATTTCCTTCCTTCGTTCCTTCCTTCACATACCGAGTGCCAAGTCTGCGCCACATGCAGGTCTCAATGCTGGGGTTATGGCAGTGAGCACATCACCCCAGTTTCTGCCCTCACAGAACTCACGTTCTGGTCATTTCTTCCCTAGACATCGTTTTTCTAGAATTACCTTTCCAAACCAATTCTCTCCACCATCTCCTCCCAACCCTCTGGATGAACCAGTAACCAGCATATTTCTTCTCTAGTCATCTGGGCCCACAAAGGGTTAACGATGCTCCGGTAAAGTGGACTATCTAATTATAAGATTTGGGAATTAAAAAAACAAGGTTAGAATACATCAAAAATCTTAATGTCCCAAAAACTTCCCATCATTTTTGCCTAATGATTTTAACCAAACAATTCAACTACATAACACCCAATGCTAACCCGGAGGTAGTCAAACTGGTGATCCCTCAGTTTTCCGGTGGCAAAGGAGATTGGTGAAGGACTTTGGAAATCTTGATATTACATATTAAGTCCCAGCAGTCTTCTGATAATCATCCAATAACCCGACGATGGGCACAAAGATGCTCAGGGCCGTGTCATGTATGAGGCTGCAAACTCGAAAGCAAGTGAGCCCTCCGTGATCTCCAGTCCTGGCGGGGTTGTCCAGGCTCTGCTGAAGCCCCCTGGAGCTGAGCAGCTCACCGGCTGGGTAGCTGTTTGTTTTAACCAGGGAGGTGAGGAGTAGCAGAATGCGCCACCCCAGAATATGCCGCTTTGATATGCTGATTATTTTGAGCTGTAGGCGCTTGAAGAACACATGCAGGGAGAGACTAGCTCTGAACGCCCCTTATCTGCCTAAAGACACCCTCCAAAAGGGACTCAAGAGCTATGGATTCCCCTCCCGGGAGTTTCCTCAACCAGGGACGCTGACTGTCATCACAGAGGAGAAGGCTAGGAGTCGACACACTCAGACAAACGTTGTCAAACTGTCGCGCCTCCCACCTTTTCTTCTAAGAGTCCGTTCATCTTTCCTGAAAATCACGGACTTCCTCCTCAGGGTCCACCTCCCCACTCCCCTGTCCCTATTAAGACGGTATTTCAGACGGAATTCTAAGCCACCTGTGTGAGCTGCTCATTTTCCCCTGGGGCTCTCCCGTGCGCAGGTGAGGTCTACGTGTTAATAGCTTCAGTGTGTTTTTCTCTCGTTCATCTGTCTTTTATTACAGGGTCTCGGCCAAGAACTCAGGAGAGTAGAGGGAAAATTACTTTTCCTTCCCTACCCGGGCACCGTTTCACGGTTACTCTTGTTTACAGACTCTTAGCTTACAGATTCTTTCGTTGCTCAAAAATCACTTGAAATGTGTTTTCAATATAATTTGACAAAAATCACCCCCATACTACCACAACGTAACTATCGATTTTATTCATTTATTCCCAGCTATTTTTCAAATGCATATTCTTTTCCACATGGCTTTCATAACATATTGGCTTTGTTTTTAAAATGTAATATTGTACGACAAGTATTTTCCGTGTCGTTTCACAGTTGTCATTACGAGTATTTTTGACGATTCTATGCTATTTCGTCAAGAGGGGACATACCTTCCTGTCTCTAGACACACTCCCTTTTGTGGCACGTTGGGGTCTTCATGTTTTTGTCATCCGTAGGACTCCATATAATGGCCCCAGCCCCGTCCTGGCTGTCCCGGCTGCTGCCTCCACTCTGACCAGGGACTGGACCGTCACTGGCTCCCGCGTCCCCCTCTGCTTTCTGGCTTCTCGGAGCTCTTGTGCAGGACTGCCATGCAGGGCTGGGGAGCGGCTTCTATTTCCAGTTAAACTTGACAAAGGAAGTTACTTGCTGTAGCAGTATTGGCAAGTACGGGCCACTGAGGAGGTCACAGGATGTGTCCACAATTAAACCCAGGGACCTGCTATATCCCTACCCAGAGACACGGATTGGCCTCCCAGGAGTTCCAGTTTTCATTATTTTTTCAAGTAAGATTTGTTGCTTCTTTACGTTTCACGCTAACCTCATTTCCGTGGTACGTTAAATTGTTCTGAGGCTATTATGAATAGTACCTTTTAATGTTGTGTTTTCTGACTTGTTTTGTTAGTCTATCGAAATATCATTCATTTTTAATACTCCTCTGTGCTACACTGAATTTTTACTAATTGTAATAGTTACTGAATGAATAATTCATGAACACATACTGCTGGTTTTCTTTCTTATTTTTTCAATACTTATTTTTCTTATTTTGGTTCCGCGCCTTATCGAGTCAGCTTGAATTCTTAAATTATTTAATTTTGTGAAATTGACTCTAGTCTTTCTCTGTGGGTTTACAAAAACCACTCTTCGTCCTGATCAGGCGGTGTGTTCCATTCCTGTATTTAAATATTTTTATTAGGACTAGGTGCTGAATTTCCAGACTCTAATGAGACGGTCATAAATTTTTTTTATTTATCCCATGAATATAGTATATTATGTGCATACATTTCCATATATCGAATTATCCTTCTATTCTGTGAAAACCCCAACTCGGTCATTGGCGATTTTTGCATCAGTGTGTTAAAAATTTATATTCTCTAGTATTGTATTCAATATGCTCATCTTGGAGTCATAAATGATATTGAGCTATAGTTTTCTTCCCTTGTAATCAAGTTTTATTATTAGTGTTCTATCTGCTTCGTAAAATACACTCATACTGTGTTTTCTATTTCTGGGACAATTTATATGACATGAGAATTGCTTGTTTTCTGAAGGGTTAGAAGAACTTGCAGATTTCCATATGTTTGCCACACCTTCATGAGATGCATCTGATTTTTTAAAGTTTTTAATGTGATGGATGAGTATGATTCCCTTTCTCTTCCCCACCCCAACTCGGCTCTCCCACCGCTCCCCTACGCCTGTTCTTTTCCGAAGACTTAAGAAGTAATCACAAAATCCTTGATATTTCCAGCTGAACTTGGTTCTCATTTTCAGCCAACAGGTATTTCTTGTGTCCTTTGAACAGATGTTTCACAAAAGGAGAAATACAATGGCCAATAAATGTATGAAAAGGTGCTTAACATCATTAGTAGCCAAAGAATGTAAATTTAGACCATAGCAGAATGCCATTTCGTTGATCACTTTGGCAAAAGGAAAAAGAATGACAGCATCTCATGTTGCTGAGAAAGGAGGAGGGGCTGTGTGCTCAGGCTCGGGGTCAGAGCATAAAATGACAGGACTTTGAAAGGATGACCGGCAGCATCTCACAACATAAACAGGACACACTTCGGCATCTCAGGAGCCCCTGCAGAAACTCACCCCACACAAAGGCAATGGCGGGAACACAGAGAAATGTGTCAGGGTGTTCCCCAGTTCCTCGAAGCAGTAAAAAGAAATGGAGACAATTTTAAATATCCATGTAGGGGGACTGTCGACATTAAAATACACCAATATCAAATACAGGCTTAGGGCTGTGAAAAAGAACCAGGCAAGTCCGTATGAACTGACCTGGAAGGAGACCCAGGATATATTAAGTACAAGAAAAAAAAGTTCAAGAATATGGTCTTGAGGGCTGGCCCGGTGGTGCAGTGGTTAAGTTTGCATGTTCCACTTCAGTGGCCTGGGGTTCCCCAGTTCAGATCCTGGGTGCAGACCTATGCACCGCTTGTCAAGCCATGCTGTGGCAGCATCCCACATATAAAGTAGAGGAAGATGGGCATGGATGTCAGCTCAGGGCCAGTCTTCCTCAGCAAAAAGAGGAAGAATGGCAGCAGATGTTAGCTCAGGGCTAACCTTCCTCCAAAAGAAAAGAATATGATCTCGATTTTTTGAAGTATTATATATGCGGTACAGGACTAGGGAAAAATTCTAGAAGGAGATACACCAAGGGGTGAGTAGGCTTAGGCTCGGGGTCGGAGACATTGAGGTTGGGGGAGGGGAGACCCACACCTGCACCCTGCCCTCGTCTGTCCTATTGAAATTTGTTACAAGAGTCACATGCTACTTTCATAATAAAAACAGTAAAATAAAACAATAGCGAGACATCTTTGTTACTCATCCCTTTATCATTATAAAATCTCCAACCTGTACAGTAAGACACTGAGGGCAGGTCATTAATGCTGCTGAGCACATAGTAAGACAAGCAAAAGTCAAATAAATTAACGTTGTTAAATATTAATATTGTCATCTTTTTAGAAATTTACACGTGACAAGTTTCTCTAACCTGTTATTTTGTCCTTTTGCGTCATTTTTATTTCAGACTATCTCTCGTATGCAGAAAATTCTTCAAAACTGGTTTTTGCCCAATGTGATACTCTTGACTTATGAATGCTATTAGTATTCATTATTATTTATTGTCATAATTGTTCCACTTGGATTCGAGTTGCATTATTTTAGGCATTCTGCTTTTTAGTTCTTTGCTCTCTTTTCACATCCCACACCGATAGGTGTGGTGACTAGGTTTGAGCTGATGTGGCGAGTGGCTTAGAGTGGCTGCGAGGACAGCCCACCAACGTAGAAAAGTCTTTGCTTTCTTGTCTGCACTCTACCTGATAAAGGACAGACACTGGGGACACATCAGAATAAGGGCTTAGAGTTCATGATACTAAGATTTTATGTTTAAAATTGTGGCCGACTGTCTCCCAGTCCTGGCCTGGAACAGCTCCTGGGGCGGGAACTCTGTCTCATTTGGGGGAGGGGACGAGAAGGAGGTGCGCTGGGCTAAGGCGCCGCAGAAGCAGAGAGAGCAACCGGGGTGGGAGGCCCGCTGGACGCGGAGCGCTGGGTCTCCCCGAGGTGGCCCGTTTCCTTCCGGTTTTAGTAAATATTCTGCGAGACATTTGTGATTTAGACACAGAATTAGAGGTCACATAAGACCCTGCCTTGTGTGTCATCACTTTCATAGCTTAGTTTCACGAATCCTCGTGTTTCACATTGATCACATCTCTGTTGTTAAAAACGGATCTTTTGCTGGGAAAGCTCAGCGCATCGCGCATTCTGGGAAGAAGCGGTCACAGCGCTTCGCGCCTCGCTTTGCCTCATTTCTCCCCCAGAGGGCGTCGCACTCCTCCTCTGGTTCAGGTTCCCTGATGCTGAGGGACCACGTCTGGCGCAGGCTGTGGTCCCCGCCTGATGAGGGACGGCGCACAGAGGCACCGCGCCCCGCCCCCCGCCTCCTCTCTGCACTCCCGAGAGGGGCTGAGCCGGCGAGCTGTCCTCTCTTGCTCCCTCGTCTCTCCTCCGTTGCGCCCTCTTAGCTCAGCAGCTGGAAGCCAGAGAGCTCTTGAGATTTGGATTTGGGTTTAAAGGGAGGGAGGGGCTGTCTTGGATTAAACCCCTTTTGCCAGAGAACCCTGGAGATTCAGGCCCAAGCCTGGAGAATGGAGGTGCTGTTCTGCTTTCCCTTGTCTCTGGTGCTCCGTCCAGGACCCCGAGGGGAGGAGGTGTGGCTGGACTAAGGCCGAGGTCAGGCACCTCCGGAGTTCCTGCCAGCACAGCCAGATGATGACCTCCAGCCTGAGCACAAAAGCCTGCCTCCCAAGAGGTGGGGAGGCGAACACAGATGCGGGATCCTGATTTGAATAGATATTCTAATCTGGGTTCAGAAAATAGGTCCCCGTAACTGAGGGGCCCAGGAGGAGACACCTCTAATTGTAGGGGGAGTGTGAGCAGGGTCTCGCGGGATTTGGGGCTGGAGTGGGACTTCACATCCTCACCTTCTTCTTAGGGACTGGCATCACCCACGTTCAGGGTCCCATCTCCAGTGTCACCCACTGGAGGTCAAGACAGTACACTGTGGTCAAAACAACTTCCCAAGGAGGAGGGAGGGTGACCTGGGTGGATTCCGGTCGGTGCTGAACTCATGGTGCCCCTGTCGGCTCCTTGGCGTTTTTCTCTCTTTCCTGGTGACAGTGGATCCCGGGCCAGAAGAGATGCAGCTTCAACTCGTAAAGAAGAAAAGAGACCCCACAGTCACTCAGAGAGGCAGCGACTTCATCTGCAGCCGAGGCCCAGTGACTCGGACCTGGGAATTCGTAAACATGAAATCCAGGGAAGATGGTGAGCTCAGAAGGGGAGAGGAGAGCTGAGATGGAACCCCGGGAAATGCCCGCATTATACAGGGCGTTTGAGGAATGAAAGGAGTCCTTTACATGCTCTCAGGGAAAGTTGCCCAGGAGGCAGACGTAGAGAGAGGAAACCACAGTTCTGTTTCTCTCATGTCAAGTCTCTGTCCTCGCTCGGTCACAATAAGGTGACAGACAGAGCTTTTTGCCCGGACTTCCCGTGTGAAGACAATGGATCAGCTTATCAGTTTCTCTCCTCTTGTCTATTATCCAAAAGCAACATGGAAATTGATACAAACACCATCATTAGAAACTGGGAGAGGGGCTGGCCCAGTGGTGCAGTAGTTAAGTTCACACATTCCGCTTCTCAGCGGCCCAGGGTTCGCCAGTTCGGATCCCGGGTGCGGACATGGCACCGCTTGGCATGCTATGCTGTGATAGGTGTCTCACATATAAAGTAGAGGAAGATGGGCATGGATGTTAGCTCAGGGCCAGTCTTCCTCAGCAAAAACAGGAGGATTGGTGGCAGATGTTAGCTCAGGGCTAATCTTCTTCTTCTTCAAAAAAAAGGAAAGAAACTAGAAGAAATAGGTAAAATAGATGAAAAGGATGCCAACAGCAATGGGAATGAGCAGGGCTGTGCAAGGAAAAGAAGAGGGGAGGCCGATAATTGCAGGTTTCAGAAAAAGTAGACGATGAAGGCAGGTTTCAGGGGAAATGCCCCTCTTCAAGGTGAGGGCATTCTCAAAGTGCAAAAATAAAACCCCTTGTTGAAATAGTGAGGATGAGGTGTACAGGTTCCACTAAATCTGAATTGGTTCCGAGAAGCAATGGAGATGGGACTAACTGAGGGCACAAGTGAGACGAGCCATTGGGAGGACGCAGTTTGTCCTCGAGACAGAGAGGAGAAAAGAGGCTACCTTGTGAATAGTCTGAAGACTGCCCAGTCCCGTCGCCCGGGGACACAGGAGGACTGAAATCTCGTGTAGAAGGCCCTAGATCAGAGAGAAGAGTTTCACTAGTGTGGGACACAGCCCTGGCTTCTCCTCTACTGGAATCTGCCATAAAGAGCTGGCCATAAAAAAAGCCACCAACAGAAGATCTACACAAAAAATATTAACTCAACAACAACCACCACCAACCCAAGAGAAAAATGGGCAGAGGAATGAATAGACGTTTCTCCAAAGAAGATACACAAATGGCCAATATGTCCATGAGAAGATACTCAACATCACCAATCATTAAAGGCAATGCCAATCAAAACCACAGTGAGTTGCTACCTCACACCCGCTAGGATGACCGTTAGAAAAAACCGAAAGACACAGACAATAACAAGCGTAGGTGAGATTGTGGAGAAATTGGAACACTTAAACATTGCTGGTGGGAATGCAAAATGGTGCGGCCACTGCCAACACCACGTCGGTTACTCAAATAATTAAAAGTAGAATTCCCATAGGATCCAGCAATTCCACTTCTGGGTATGTACCCAAAGGAACTGAAAGCAAGACCTCCAATAAATATTTGTACATCCGTGTTCATAGTGGCAGTGTTCACAAGAGCTAAAAGGTAGAAATGACTGAAATGTCCACTGATGGATGAATGGATAAAAAAAACATAGTGTATATGTGTGTGTGTATATATATATACACACAATGAAATATTATTATGAAACAATGAAACAATTATTCAGTTTCATTATTTCAAAAAATAACAGTAAATATTATTGAGCCTTAAAAAGGAATGAAATTCTGACACACGGCACAACAAGGGTGAACCGTGAAGACATTTTGCTAAGTGAAATATGCCAGTCACAAAAGACAGATATTGTACGATTCCGCTTATGTGAGGTGCTGGAGTAGTCGAGTTCATAGAGACAGAGTCGAAGGATGGTTACCAGGGGCTGAAGGATGGGGCAGGAGAGGAGTGATTGTTTAACACGGTCAGAGTTTCAGTTTGGGAAAATGAAACAGAAAGTTCTGGAGATGGATGGTGGTGATGGATGTACAACAATGTGAGTGTACTTAATGCTGCTGAATGGTACACCTAAAAGTGGTTAAAATGGTCAATTTTGTGTTATATATGTTTTATCACAATAGAAAAATATACATTATAGGACAAAAAGGAAGACAGTAAAAACACAAAAACAAATGGTGGATAAAGAACACTCACCAGAAAAGTGTTGCCAAAAAGCCAATGAAAATCACAAGCAATTATTTTGCAATTAATTTTTTAGAAGTTAGGGAAGCAATTTCCTTTATAAAGCAAAAGCAAAAACCAGAGATCTGAAGGCTAAGGGAAGACATGGCAGGACCCCATGAGGAAATTAAGCAGTGTAGGGGATTGGAATTGGCCACCCCAAGCTATGTCTCTTTGGCATGAGGACTATTTTGGGCTGGTTACTTTTAAAAACTGCAGACAGGAGAGAAACTCTGAAAAGTAGAATTTACCTTCCCTTTGTTAAGAGACATTTGCATTTGTAGAGGAAATCTCCACCTGTAAAGGTGTCTCCCTCTCTGAACCAGGAAGAAGGGGGGGATGACCTTCTCTCTAGAAACTCTCATCAATGCAGAAGGCAAGGACTTAAATCTGCATAATAACCTGACTCTTTTTACTGTGCTTTTCTGGTAACTTCCCGTAACTGACTCCCCCCACCTCCAACATCCTCCTCTGTCTTTAGCTGAGGATGGTATTTAAGGGGAGAGCTTCCACCATTTTGGTGAGTTGCTCAGTTTTTCTGGGTCTCTCCCATGTATACACATTATAAAGCTTTGTTTGATTTTCTCCCGTTATTCGGTCTCATGTGAATTTAATTCATTGTCTGGCCAGAAGGCCCCAGAGTGGGTAGAGGAAACGTCTTCCTCCCCTACAGTAGAAACTGGAGCTTAGGGAAAAAGAGAAGAGAAAAGGAAAGCCATCACAAAAAGAAATGCTTATTGGAATTCACACAAAGGAAAGAGGACACTAAAAATAAATAAATAAGTAAGGGAAACCAAAGACAAACGTGAGCAAATCGAGCAAAATGAAATGAAAACAAGGTGCTGAAAGGGTTCAGGGAAAAATAAAAGAATAAAGGCCAAACTCCAGCATATGCTGATTGGAATCCCCTAAGAAGAAAAATGTGAACAGAACGAATATTTAAAGATAAAATTCGGGGAGTCTTTCTAGAAATCAAAGATCACACACCATGTCCTAAGAAAAGCGGTCGCACTGTGGTAGCCCCAGGCCACAGTCCGGCAAAGTTCCCAGATTCCACAGGGAACAAAGTATGGGGAGGGGAGCGCGCCCAGGTGGTGGCTTCAGACTTCCCAGAACCACCCTTGGCTGGGGGACAACGGGGTGGTGCCACCAGAGCTGAAGATGGACACCCTCAGGGGACCCGTGAGTGTGGTCGACAACTGTGTCATTTTTAAGGCCCCAGATATTTTCTTGGCATGCTCTTGGTTCTTAGGAGCATAGGAGAAAAGACATTTTGATTCTCAGTATCTGAGACTTACTTTTTAGAACTTATCTAGAAACTGATAAAGATTGTATCTTTTTAGCATTTTATTCAAAACCTACATACTTTTGACACATTCATTAGGAGAAATAGACACTTCAGATGAAAGGGGACACAAACCCCTCTTGATTCCACCGCCCACGATGCTCATCGTACAATCACAATTGACCGGCTTTTACTTAAGAAAGGACTTTCCATCCATTTTCTCCATATTCCCCCCAACAGCCTTGTCCGGAAGTGCGTTTCCCGCATTCGTAGCCCAGGGCAGCCTCGTTCAGGCGGGGAAAACGCTCACCGGGTCCTGGGTCCATGGGCAGCTCACAAAAGAGGACATTCAGTGGCCGAGAAATATGTGAAAAGGTGCTCCACCTCTTCAGTAATTAGGCAAATGCAAATTAAAGACACCTCGATAGACAGGCCTTTCCCACACAGTGGGAGTCACACGGTCGCTGTGCCCCGGGGTGAAGACCCGCCCTTCATCCACCAGGCACACCCCAGCCCCTCGGGCCTGGTGCCTGACCTCACGCACAGCCTTGCCTCCTCCTGGAAGCTCTGCAGAGCCCTCAGCTCTCCCAGCCGTGAGAGGTGCCCTCTCAGTCCCAAGGCAGGACCAGGACACCAGGAAGGAATCCAGGGGAGGGGACCAAAAAGGGGTCTGTCGTTCAAGCGTGGAGTGGCCAAGCTGTTTACAAATGTCCACTTGAGTCAGTCTCAGTTTCTCTTCTCTCCTCCTCTCTCTCTCTCTTTCCCTCCCCAGTGTGATCACCACTGCTCTCTTAGAGACATCAGAGAACTGTGTCCTGCTCAAGACAAGAAGGCAAGGTACAAATATCTCAACAAACAAAACCAATCTCCTGCTGGTCTGACTGCCAGCAACTCATTCATTCCCCTTTCCCAGCCCTAGGAATCGAGAAACTGGAATTCCCAGGTCCCCTGGGCTTCCTTCCCCCATGTGGCTTCAGTGTGTTTCACTGGAATGGGAGGGACAGACAATGGCCCCTCTCTGATTTCGGGCCTGCTCTGTGGGAGATTCCCCAGCAACACCAAAGAGTGGGCTTGGTGGGATGACTCACATGGGCTTTGGGAAGAGTCAGTTTTTGTTCAGAATATGTCTTTAAGGCTTCATTTTCTTTTTTCTTTTTTTTTTTTTTTTGGTGCAGAAGATTAGCTCTAAGCTAGCATGTGTTGCCAATCTTTTTTTTTGTTTTCTCCCCAAAGGCCCAGAACATAGTTGTATATCATAGTTGTAAGTCCTTCTAGTTCTTGGATGTGGGATGCCACCACAGCATGGCTTGATGAGTGGCGTGTAGGTCTGTGCCCAGGATCTGAACCGGTGAACCCTGGGCCACCAAAGTGGAGCACGAGAACTTAACCATTACACCACCAGCCTGGCCCCAAGTCCTCACTTTCAAAAGATATTTTCACAGGGCATCAAATCCTAGGTTGACGGTTCCTCTAAGTACATCGAAGTCATCATTCTAGTAATAGAAATGCTCAACAAATAGTTCATTTGCTCCCTACGTTTCGCAGCCCCTTGCTATTGGATGAGGCCATGTGGCTAGTTCTGGCCAATGAAATGTCAGCTGAAAATGCGTGGGTCACCTTAGGCTGAGGCAGTAGATAGCCCAAGGGTGAATTTCCAGTTGTAGCAAACCATTTTCATTATTTGCAGATGAGATGACATGAAATTGACAGCATATCATCATATCACAATATGATATTGATCTATATGTAGAAAATCCAAAAGAATCTACAGGTAAACCATTAGAGATAATAATGAATTTAGTAAGTTTATTGGATATAAGGTCAATATACAGAAATCAATTATACTTCTTTATACTAAGAAACAAACGATAATAAATGAAACAAACAATTTATAATAACACTAGAATGTATCAAATTCCGAAGACGATATCCAGCAAAAATGTCAAGACATCTACACTGAAACTATAAAGCGTTGCTGAAATAAATGAAAGACCTAAATAAGAGGAGAGAGGCCATGGATTGAAAAATTCAGTATTGTTAAGAAGTCAATTCTTTCTAACCTGATCTATAGAGTCAATATCATCCTAATAAAAATCCTGGTAGATGTTTTTGTTGACATTGACAAGCTGGTTCCAAAATTTACATGGAAATACAAAGGACTTAGAATACTAAAGATAATCCTGAAGAAGGAGTTGGAAGATTTATCCTACTGGATATCAAGATTTGTTATAAATCTACAGTAATTAAAACAGTGGTGCTGCACGAGGCTAGACAAATAGACCAATGGAACAAACCAGAGAAGCCAGAAACAGATTGTGTAAGTTCCGTTGGTCTGTTTGTCTAACCCTGTGTTGGTCCCATCACTCGTTTACAACAAGGGCACATTGAAATGCGGTGGGGGAAGGGGGGTCTTTTCAACAAACAGCGATGAGCTTTTGAATATCCACATGGAAAGAAAAGTGAATCTTGATCTGTTCCTCACATCAGACTTGGAGAATTGCAGACATCAATGTTAAAAGAAAAACAATAAAACTTGTAGAAAAAAATCACAGGAGGTTGTTTGTGACCTTGGGATATGAAAATATTGTATGGGACATAAAAACCGCATATAATAAAAGAAAAAATAATAGCTTGAACTCGGCTGACAGGAACTTCTGAACATTAAAATATACCAGTAAGAGGACATCCAACATGCGTAGCAGCATTATTCAGGATAGCCAAAAAGTGGAAGCAATCCAAGTGTCCATCAACGGACGAATGGATAAACAAAAGGTAGCCTAGACACACAATATTATATAATTCTGACACGTGCTACAACACGGACGAACCGTGAAGACACTATGCTAAGTGAAATAAGCCAATCACGAAAGGACAAATGCTTTATGATTCTACTCATGTGGGGTACCTAAAGTAGTCAAATTCATAGACAGAAAGTGGAATGGAGGTTGCCAGGGGCTGGGGAGATGGGGAATGCGGTGTCAGTGTTTCATCAGCACAGAGTTTCACTTTTGAAAGATAAAATGTTCTGGAGCTAGACTGTGGTGATGGTTACATAGCATTATGAATGTACTTAACGTACACTTAAAAATGGTTAAGATGATAAATTTCACGTTACGTATCTTTTACAATTGAAGAACTGAATTTAAAATATATATATATATATACCAATAAGAGAGTGAAAGTCAAGCCCCAACCTGAGAGAAGACATTCGTGATAAATATATCTAACAAAAGATTTACATGTATAAAATGTAAAGAACTCCTACAAATCAATAAGGAAAAGAACACAATAAAAATAGGCAAAAGACTTGGACAGGCACTTCACAAAAAAGGATATTCTGGTGGCCAATAAACACACGACTATATACTCAACATCATTTGTATTCAAATTAACGTACTGGAAAGTCGCAATCACAAAGACATCACTACATGCTTCACAAAATGGCCACCATTTTAAACAGTGACCATACCAAGAGGGGACGAAGATGTGGAGCCCCTGGAGCCCTAATACCTTCCTGCTGGCAGTGGAAATGGACGAAACCACTTTGGAAGACTGTTCAGATGTAGGCATTGAAGCTGAGCGTCTGCATGCCCTACCATCAGCCGTTCCACCAGTGAGCAGAAAACTAGGAGAAATGAGTGTATAGGCCAACGAAATACAGATTAATAAGGGTGGACATCACAGCTTTATTTACGATAGCCCCAAACATGTCCGTCACCATCAGGATGGATAAAAACATTGTGATAGGGGCCAGCCCGGTGGCGCAGTGGTTAAATGCGCACGTTCTGCTTCGGTGGCCTGGGGTTCACCGGTTCGGATCCTGGGTGTGGACATGGCACCGCTTATCCAGCCATGCTGTGGGAGGCGTCCCACGTATAAAATAGAGGAAGATGAGCATGGATGTTCTCTCAGGGCCAGTCTTCCTCAGCAAAAAGAGGAGGATTGGTGGCAATTTCTTCCTCAAAAAAAAAAAAAGGAGGAGAAAAAAAATTATGATATTCACAGAATGGAGTAATCGCTGGGGTAAGAAATAATGACCTATAGCTACATGCAACTACACAGATGAATCTCATAGATACACCTCAGAGGACAAGAGAATACACACTGCATGGCTTCATTTGTTTGAATATCAAGAGTGGGTGAAACTAATCAACGGCAATGGAAATCAGAAGAGAGGATGTGGCTTGCAGAATAACAGCCCCCTGAAACGTCCCACCCTAATTCCCAGAAACTGTGAGTAGTTACCTGTTACACGGCAGAAGGGACCTTGCAGATGTGATTAAGGTTACTAATCAGTCGACCTTGAGAGAGGATCAGGGTGGAACTACTCTAATCTCATGAGCCCTTAGAAGCAGAGAATTCCCCTGGCTGGAGGCAAAAGGAGACGTCAGAGAGATTCAGCGTGTGAGAAGGATTGAGCCTCAGCTGTGGAAGGCAGGAGAAGGAGATGAATCCTGCCAACAACACGAACGAGCTCGGGAGCAGATTGTCCCCTGGACCCATCAGAAACGATCCCAGGCCGGCCGGCTCCTTCACTTTGGCCTGGTGACACCCTAAGCCAAGAACGCATTCAAGCTGCCTGGACTCGTCACCTGCAGAACTGTGGGGTGAGAGGGGGGTGTTGTTTTCAGCTACAGAGTTTGTGCTAATTTACTGTGGCAGCCACAGAAAACTGACCCAGCGAGTATTGACCGGGAGGGAGAATAAGGGGGACTTTTGAGATTCCAGAAAATTCCGTAACTTGCTCAGGTGGACGTTACATGGCATATGCATATGTCGTCTGCAGCCACAAAGGGCAAGGAATGACAGGTACCACCAAGGCTACTTGGTTGTTTAAGCAATCAGAGTTTATTGATAAAGGAGAACAGAATCAGGAGCGAAAAAGGGAACAGAACAAGGAGCGGGGAAGCAAACAACAAATCAGAACTTACAACGTCCGCACCGCAATCAACCGGGGGAGTCCCAATAGATTGTACGGCAGGCAGGAGTGCTGATTGTCCGGGTCTGGGGCAGAGCGTCCTCTCCTCAGTGAGACTCCCCATTGTTCTGTGCCTGTGGCTCCCTTTTATCCTAAGGTTATCTGGGTTCTGACTCAGGGTTTCAGACATTTAGATACTTCGAGTTATTTCTTTTTGTTCCCACGGATGGGACGTTTCTATAGTCCGG